TTTGTAAATCAATTTGCAAAAGACCCACTTCCAAACATCATCATCAATCGCATCCAAAAGCATCAACAAGAATGTTTGAACGTTCATTGAAATGCAATAAAACAAACAGCCCTTCCAATACTTGATGGATCATCCAATGCTGACATAACAAAGATACCAAATTTGGTTAGATTGCGCAACACGCGTTCCGATGAGCGATCGCAAGCATTTTTGGAACACTTGCATTTTGACAGTTGCGACAAGGAACTCAAAGGGTATGATGTGCACATACACACAATGAAAAAAGAAAGTAGAATCATAGACGGAGCGTAATAGAATGGGTTTCAATTGGTTTTTGCGTAAAATGTACTGTCGGGTGATTTTTTTATTGTTGGGGTTTTTTAAAGTGGTTCTTTTGTTTACGTTGCGGCACTGTCTCAACTAGCAACGAGAGAGAGACAGAGCAAGCTGTCAAAGGTTTTTTTTTCGGGCTGTCAAGTTAACCCTAGGGTTAGAGACAGTGCAATGGCGTCTGGTGATGAGAGTGGAAGTGATCCAAGTAGTTTTGTGGTAAGAACCCAATGAAAAAAAACAAATGGTCCTTACACACTTTAAGAACATGACCCACCATTCCTTGTGTTGTGGTGCTCGTCACTCACTATGCGCTCGATCCATTTTACAACTGCTCTTTCGTTTCACTGTTAGGGTATTTTAGATGATGTGGAACGAAACCCCGAGCAACACCTCTACGTTCAACCATCAGTCACATTCTACACCTCATCCAATGGCGACCATGTCCAATCCATCAGTAAGTTTTTCCAGTCCATTCCCAACGTCTATTCATATTCAACGTGGATACCAAAAAATCGTTATGATAGATGTGACAGCTTCGGATAACGACAATGCAGATTTGACTTTGCTCCAGTTTGCCGCAGAGTTTGATTTAACGGGGTTGTGTATCGCGGAACAGGAGGATATTGATCAGTTTGAAAGGCTTTTTACGATACCCGGGACGTTTGAAGATATTGAACTGGTTGAAAATCGGCAATTTATAGAGTCTATTGATTTGGATCAATTGTTGTTTCCCGACCCCGAGGATGTGGTCGGTTTTTGTTGAAAAGTGTAGTATGTTTTTTGTTTCTGCTTGCTTAATGGTTTTGGTGGGTATAGGTGACGGCTGCGCTACAAGTTCCTCTACCAGATTCGCTTTTGCATAATGCGGGTGCGAGGGGATTGTACGAGCGGTTGACGAGAGGGAGTATGGTAAGTCCACTTTTTTTTTTTTCCTTGTTTATCGTTATCGAACATTTCATATCTGTGATAGATCCAGATGAGTGATACCTCTATGGATTATACGGCAATGGGGTCGGGTATGGGTGTAGGTTTCTAGGTGCTTTTGTGATGGGTTTCGTTCCGTGTTGCTTATCTCACTGTTTTATACGAGAAAGCCAGTGTCTGTTGGGACGGTATCAGGAACAAGTTTGCCACCGTCGGCAATGCCGACGATGCATGAGCATCACCACCTTGTTGCGCACCAACTCGTTGGCCAGGGGATACCCCTTCATCCATCTGTTATCGGTGCATATGCAGGTGGACACCCAGTAAGTCAGTCCCTCAAACTCCATTACCCAATTCAGTGCTTTTTTTATATCCGTATTCCATGTAGGTCTCAAATGCCGAATACTGCTTCCAACCCGCCATGATGTGGAACCCCTACGGACAAGGACACATGTTTACCAGTATACCACCACCAATCCCACCCCCCACGACACAGTCAATTTCTCATATCTCATATCCACAGCCCATGATCGAGGCGACTAGTACTGGAGGTCAAAGTTCGTCCATCCCGGTCTCAAAACCCCCACAACAACCACAGAGAGCCATAAAAACCCCCAAACCAACCAAGAAACGAAACATCCGCAAAAAAGTTAAATTCCTTGAACCCACTGACGGACTCTTCCAGTTACTGCTAACCGTGGCATCCCACCACCCCTCTCATTCCCTCGAATACATTGACAGTGGGTTGAGGGGGATTGCCAAGGGGTTATTGGGTTTAGGTGTAAAAGAGGAGGATTTGGAGAGGATTGTTGAAGAGTGTCAGAGGGATGTTGAGAGGAGGTATAGGGAGGTGGGTGTTGAGGAAGTGGGTGAGGATGAGGTCGAGAAGAGACAGAGGAGGGAGGGAAAGAGACCTGTTTGATGATGGATTTGGCTGTACCCGTAATGGTTAATAAGTACTGGTACATATGGAAAAGAGATGGCCCTCTTTGATGCTGGATACGCTAAATGAGCGTCGACTTGACAGCGATGAATTAACCTCTACTGTACCCGTCATGGTTGATAAAATTCTGGTAGAGACGGAAAAGAGACAGACGAATTCGATGCTGGATATGCTAAATGTGCGTCGAACTGCATTAACAAAGATTAATGAACTTATCTGTACCCGTAATATTCAAAAACCACTGGTAGATTTACGTTATTTGCTCGTCTTGTAAGTAATTACGAAAACCGATTCGAAAGAGAGACGATCCCAAAAACCCTGAAAGGAATATTAACCCATCGGGGATTTTTTAGAGATACAGGACATGATGAAGAACTAGAGGTTTAGACAAATCATACATACAGATTTCAACCCCAAAACAAAATGGCACCAACAAAAAAAGTAATCCAACTCCTCGCAAACATCCTAGACCTCTCCCACCCAACCCTGCAACAACAATCCACGAGCAAATCCGGAATATTCGACCAAAAACCTCAACCAAAACCAAAACGCCCAACAGATTTACCAAAGATTATTGTTCCCCGTAAGCGAGAAACATGTTCACCAGGAGCTTTGGAAGGGGTATTGAATTCTGGGGTTGAGTATGTACGGCTTTTTCGGGTGTGTCGGGGTGAGCAGGTTGGTGAGGCTTGTGTTGGGGGTGTCAAAAAGGCTGAAGAGGGTGTAGAGCAACTCGTAAAAGTACGTTTACGAAAAACTCGTTTATTGAAAAAAAAACATGGATTTTAATAAAACCTCCATGTTAAACAACGTAGGAAATCGACCAAACAAAACAAGACATTCAAAAAACTTTTTCAGAATCCGTTTCGTATTGCACAAAAGATCTCGTTACATACCTCCATACCCGATTATCCCATCTCCAAGCCCTTCATGAACGAGATCTCGCGAGAGTGAGGCGAGCATGCCGGGGACAATTGGCAGATATGGTCGCACGAGTCGTATCAGATGCAAAGGTATCGTAACTTTCCATTGAACATTTGGGTATCGGATGTTACGATGAACATTTTTTGAAATAGAAACATCGCGAGACAGCCAACATTGTCCTTCAAAACCGTCATGAACTACAATTGGAATCTATTCAGGAACATATATTTGATATGAAGCGACAGGCACGGAGGAGGGCGGATGTGATTAGCAAGTTACGAAGTCAAGTTGCGAGAGCGCATATTGCGTTGAAGAAGCATGGGATTTACGAAAATGAGGTCGGTTTTTTGAGTATTATTCCGTTTTTTCTTAGATTGTTTGTGTACAATCATAACTTATTCTACTCACACACATAACCCATCTTACAATAAAAATACAGGTCTCACAAAACATTACAGACGACCGAATCCGAACCGAAGACCTCCTAACCTCCCTCCAAACCTCCCTCCACGAAAAAGAACAAACAATCAAATCCCTAACAGAACGTCTAACAGAGCTAGACCAACAAGCCGAAAAAAAGCGATCTACATCCGCCAATGCCACACGAAAAAGTTCGCGGAGATCTTCTGTTAAGCAGGGGAGTGGAGGGGCCAGACGACCTACTCAGAGAGTTTATGGAGATCATCGAAAGAGTATATTGGAAAAGGATCGGAAAATGAGTGTGGAGTGGAAATCGGGTGTGGAGGATGGGTTGAGTTCTCCTACACTTCCATCTGTGGCGTACCAACAAGTACATTCTCACCCCCAACAACCACAACCACAGCAACAGCAAGATCAGCAAGATCAACAAGATCAACAACAACAGCAAGACCCACCCGCCCTAAAAGAAACAACAATAGCCCTCCTAAACTCTCTAACAACACTGTACGAAACCCGCCTCGAAGACATCCAAACCACCCATAACACAACCCTAACCACCCTCCAAACCAACCTTACCACAAAAATAGAGGAATACCGTCTCGCATGCCAAGAAGCCCAAGCTGCCCTCGCAGATCCGATTGTAAAGGGGTGTATACGAGGGGGGTTGAAGACTGTTTCGCCGTTTGTGAGGGGGTTGTTTCCACGGGGTGTGAGAGAGGGGTTTAGAGAAGTCGGTGTTCAGTGTAATTTGGATCCGTTTTCGGGGGGTGGGGAGGGGAGTGGGTAGCAGTTGGTTTTTTTTTTAGATTGTAGGTTTTTGTTTTTGGGTAGATGTCATAGGAAAGGCTTTGATATTTAGTTTGTAGGGTGAGTTACTGCGTACGGCCTTCTAACGCCTCATTATAAATAAAAGATGCACATGATAAACCGCCCCACTAAAAACCTTTCAACAGCATGGATGGTGCATAATATACATGGCACGCAAAGAGACGCTAAGGGGCATAAATGCATACGCGAATAAAAAAACCATAACTTGCGAGTTTCAACGATGACAACAAGTATTATTCATATTAACTGATCGTTGATAGCTAACTATCCGATTTCCTGCTGCTCTAGCTGATAGAATGCAGTTAGCAAACACTCCAGCTCGCAAGGCCGGGAAAACCACACACCTCCGAAGATTGCATTATAGCATGTTCTTTCTCTGTGCTCACGGGACCTGTTTCGCCGTTTTTGCCAGTATAGAGCATTTCTCTCTCTTTCCTGACTTTCGCCATCCTTTCCTCGTAAACAGTCCGGATTTTAAGCGCCATGTCCGGAAAATCTGTCACAATGTCCTCAAAATCCGTGCGATGCAAACGGTATGCGACGGTATCCGTAAATGCTTTGATGGTAGCCGTACGAGGAACTTGACCAAGCAAAGCAACTTCACCGAAAAAAGCCCCGTCTGAAAGGACGCCGATCCGCTGGGATGCAACGATAATCTCTGTAATGCATTTTTAGTGTGAATATTAAAATGCTCGTTCATCTAAAAAGCAGGGCCTACCTACGCACCCCGAGAGAATGAAATACATTTCATTACCCGGCTTTACTCCCATTATGAAGGTTACGTAAAGCTATTAGGGAATAGTCTGGGCAGCATTACAAGTGGCATCTTACCCGTCCTTGTTCGAATATAGTGTCGCCTTTCACATAATATCTCGCATTGAGAGCATCGGCAATGCGGCCAAGAAAGTTATCATCGCGTCCGTCACCGACCTTACGGGAAAGAAAGTCCACTTTGGCGATGAGGTCACTGCAATTGTGGATTGTAACTTCCTGTAGAAGATCAACTTTGGGTATTAGCAAATTGGCCTCGCGTTACGGTGAAGCCAAAACGCTGAAAATTACTTGCCTGTCTCAAACTGTCGCTCAATTCCTCCAAGATTCCAATCTCATCAAAATATTTTCCTCGATACTTGAGCTGGAAGAAATGCCGCACTTTTGTTTGGAGTGATCTGCTCAGATTTCGATAGGTCATGTACTCATTTACTTCTTCTATTTTCTGCTTAAACATCCTGCCCGAAGAGTCGAGACCAGAGCTTACGGATGAGACGTGACCAATGACCGTACCGTACAGAGCAGCACCCGTGAAAATAGTCATGATGGTTACGGTACGCTCAAGAAGTGCAACAGGGCTTTGAAATAGAAGAATGTTATTAAGGTCGATAACACTGAAGATGACGGCCCTTACTTACTTGTAACTCGTCTGTAGTCCACCTACTGTTGCTACTGCAGTGTAAAATGCCCAAGCGTACTGCTCTATAACCGATTTCGAAAAGACAGACGTATCCCCAAAGCTAACATAATTTGTAGCCGCACCCATCAAAAACAGGGCACATGCGTAGAGATGTACGACAATGCCAAGCAACCCTAAAAACAGAATGAGTGCAACAAAGCTCTCTCCAACACCCAAGGCGGTCTGGATCCATCGACTCAACCCGGTATAAAGGGGGTTGGTGAGCAAAATGTAACCGAGGTGATAGAGTCGAAGAAGACGAATCAAGCCATAGTAGGATGCGCTCGGGTCGTTTTGAAGAACGAGGTACCAGGGCAATGCAGTGAGGATATCCAAAGGGAATTGGGTGCGAGCGTAGCGCAACAAGGATTCGCGGGCAGAGAGTAGTTGGCCGTCTTCAGTGTGAAGAGAAAATATATGAACCACGATATCGAGAGAACACAGTATGGTGTATACGAGAGAAGATGCCCCCGCTATATGCTGTGATTTTGGAAAGGAGACAAAGATGGGTACGGCAATCATCGCAGCCCTACCACAAGAGATCAATGTTGACAAGGTTTCCCAAAGAGAGTGAAACGCCAAGTCTTTGTGCACTTACAGATATATAACTAAGTGACAGGATAAAAATGAGATGATATCGACGGTCAATGTATGTACAGATTTTTACTCACTTGACATGAGCACTCCCCACACTGCCCGAAACTGGGATCGTGGGTGTATAAAGAAGGCTGGATTCATAGTTGGGACTTGGATTATCATTGCATTAAAATCCGCTGACGAGTACGGTGCTTTGAACTCATTATATTTAGGAGCGGCAAAATATCTGATATACCACCTCCATAGGCGTCCTGAGTTTGTAAGGAGGGACAAATCGTGTGTGATGTATTTTGCGGTTGACGACAAAATATCCTGTGCGTTTGGTTTGACATCGGTATCTCGTGCGATTCGTTGGGCTTCAATGTCGTCTTTGATGGGATCCACCAATGATTCTACACAAGATTGTCAGCCCACGCCAACCAAAGTATTAATCATGTGGATTATACCTTTTAGAATGCTGCCTGTTGGATGATCTTTGCGCGAATCACCCTCTGCATTTCGAAGACTACTGGGTTTGGGTCCAATTCGTGTGTCGTCCAACTGAAACCGTGGTTCTGAGGAACATGATGAACTTTTGGCCGATATAGAACTGGGATGCTTGGGAAGCTTTGGATTTGAGCTTGACAACCCGCTACTCGTTGACTCTTTGCGCTGTCTTGATCGACGCATGGTGCGGTAATATCCACTCAGACTAAAACCGGATGATGTGCCTGGCAAGGAATCTTTGCTGCCCTCGTGGATTCTGTCGCAAGTAAATTCCTCAGGGGCAATTTTGTGCTGGGTTAAAGCCCTCTCCACGGCTTGATCGACAATTACTGGAAAAGGACACTCCCCTTGGGCAGCTCCACTGTGAAATGACAATCGATCATAATTGCGACTCCTTCGTCGACTCGGCGGAATACTTGTCTCGCGTTCGTCGAACGAACTTCTGCGACGCGGAACGCAAAAGTTTTTTTCTTGCGCATGCGCTTCCACTTGGGCTAATAGATCTTGTATCTCACCCTGAATCGTTGACAAGTGCTCGTTTAATCCTCGTAATTGTCGAAGACACTCATCAAGCGGCTTTAGCTGCGAGGTCATCTCATCAGACACAATAAGGATATATGCACAGTTTATAGTTATGATGTAAGTTGAAGCCAGCGAAGGGCTCTGCTCGATCTCGTGGACTTGCGGACCATTATAGCCAAGCGCTCCCGCAACACGGTTTTGTCATGATATCTCTGGTATTTTGATATTACATAAGCAACTCCGCGCCAAAGCAAATATGGACTGTCCAGCAAGGCTGAGTTCGCGACGATATGGCTAATGTACGAGAGGAGAATAGGGTAAACGAGTGGTTTTGCGACTTTGGTAGTGACTTGATACCACCCATGGAACACCGATCGCGGACCATCTCTGGTTATCCTTAATGGCGGCTTGTTGATCCCAAAGAATTTTGCCCTGAAATTAAAGCGTGTCCATTGTCAGATCTTAGCTTTTACCTGATGCTACACCGTCTCCCGAAAAGATTCATTTGTGACCTAAATTCAAAATGACTTACACCAACCTGGACGAAGACCGCGAAGCTCACACAAGTAGTGACTCAATAAAGTCACCCAATCACGCCGAGCATTTCCTGATTCGTCAACCACGGCGACCCTCACACACTGCGTCTGAATACTCGAACTCGACGGGAAGCCACGCATCTCTCACACGGCGCCCAAGGCATGGCAAAATCTCACGCAGGAGTTCTCTTGCTGGTAGCGACATAGGAAAAAGGCCCAGAGCCTCGGTTGGAGTACGAAAATTGAATGCCGGTTATGGTGCAACCTGGACGGAGCGTCACTCTCAATATCGTTCCACAGATAAGGATAACAGCACACTAGAATCGATACTGTACCGTCCAGGATTAACATTCACTCGGCACATTGATCGAAAATCGACTAACCGAACATCCACCAACAAAGCATCTTCGACACATGGCTCAAATGAATCCATTTCTACGACTGACGATACTCGACCATCGGCAAAGGAGTGGTGGAAAATGGCGCTAGAGAGAATCGGTGCTTCTGTAAGAGCACTTCGAGCATTTCAGATTCGCAAAGCCCCGCTTGCTGAAGGGATTGGCGCCCGGAAGGCTTTGGAAAGTGGGCAGTCTAGTCTGGTACGATGCGGATTACACTTCATTTTAAAAGCATGCCACTAAAGGAAATTCACCATAGATGGCTTCCAAAGTTGGTTTCAAGATGTCCACCTACCGGAGACGACCAGATAACGCGCATCTGCACCTCAGTCCGACCCTCCTGGCAGCATTAGCTAAAACCGCTGACCCAGACTCATTGACGACTTCAGATATCGATAATCTATTTCATCTTACTAGTCTTGTGCCTGTATTTGCCAAATACGATGAAGGCATAAGAAGAGCACTGGCAAGAGTGATTACATATGAAGTGTTTGAGGCAGGGAGAGTAGTAGTGAGGCAGGTAAGGCTCTGCTTGTCTGACTGCTGGTCGTTCCAAATGGTCAAGGACGTTTATCCCTTCCTTTTGCCTCACTTAGGGTCATGAGGCGCAGAATTTCTATCATATACTTTCTGGAGAGGTGGAGGTAACAAAGAAAGTAGAAGATCGGGTCATTGTCATCAGTGTGCTGAAAGGGTAAGCCCGGTTTTCCGATCAGACGCATGTTATAAGCAAGAGTTCGTCCTCACCACAACGACATCTATCAGAGGCGACAGTTTTGGTGAAACTTCTCTTCTCCGCAATCATCGACGAAGTGCGACCGTCACTACACTCACCACACCCACAGCCTTCCTACGAGTAGCAAAGTCCGATTTTAATGAGATTCTTCAGCATGAAACACAAGCGGATGTTGACGCCAAAATCGCGCTCATTGGTAGTATACCGCTGTTTGCATGTTTGGCTCCAAGTGCTATCAGGCATTTAGCGGTGGTGAGTCGGACGAGATCGCTTGCTAGCAACGAGGTTATTGTTGCCGAAGGTGAAGTACCAGGCTTTTTATTTATTATTAGGTAGGAAGAGTGTATGCCGTTTATTGAAGATGCAAACCTGTTGCTGAGAGAATTCCTTTACAGAGAAGGCGCATGCCGGGTGGTAAAAGCTGTCAAATTCAATAGAATGTCTGATATACATGGACGGATTCGAATACGACCTTACATTCCCCCGCCTCCGCCAATTAGGCAGAAGACCGCTCACAGTCTCATAGTACATTCGACGGCGGGTAGTCGGATGCATTCGCGCGGAATGGCGGTAGAGAGAGGCACGTCCGGGTACCTGATTCTTCCTCCCATTGCCTCTAGCTCAACGGAGACGTCAAAGGCCAAGGAAATGGGACATGACCAACACAACCCTCCAGTTCCACTTCCTGCTCTCCCTTCATCAAAGAATCTTGTCAGTACAGGACCATCTTCAAAGTTCACTACTCTTTTACTAAGTGCAACAACTCTTACCACCGGCGCCTGTATCGGTGCAACCTCAGCTATTCTCAGTCACTGTACTGGCCCTCATCTACGCTTCCTACCGCCAACAGCGTCACCACGGTCTTCGTTCTCTCTCATAACATCTCGCCCAACGCGTGTTCTTCTCCTCTCCCGACCGGACTTTGCACGACTGTGTACCACTGAAATGGCGGAAATGATTGGAAAGGATGAAAAGGAATGGCAAGCTACCTTGAGTCCAGAAGCGCTAGCAGATGCGTGGAAGGTAGGGTACGCTTGGAAACGGTACAAGAAAAGAGTTTTTGACGATGCTGAGGAACGTGTAGAGGAGGAAAAGCAGAGAAAGCTTTGGACTATTAGTTAGCCATCAAACGTAGAGTAGTTTCGTTTGGCTAGACTGTTCATAGCTAAACAGATGCCAGCCAGCGTGGATAGATTAGAAAGATAAGCTTCAGACTGTGGCTCCACAGCAGTCTTCCTTCCATGTGAAATTTTAGACCCAGGAAGCACAATTGTTCAAGACGTCGCAAAGGACACATTGAAATACTCATTAACAAGATACCAAATGTTTGTTATCCAAAACACATTAGACAAACAGCGATCATTATCAAGAGAGATCACCAGCCCTTGCCGCCTTTTGTGCCTCCTCAACCCTCTCATTCTCCGCTCCCTTTTTTGTCTTGGCACTTGCACCAGAATGCTGGACAGCCTCGTGTGCGAAAAAGTGCTGGGCCCAACCAGCCAGCGCAGCCCCAATAAAATCGCCCAACCAGTACACCCAATGATTATTCCAGTGTCCAGACAGAAGGGCGGGACCAAATGCACGGGCGGGGTTGAAGGCACCTCCGGACACGGAACCGCCAATGAGGCCCTATGACACATGAATGAGTACAAAGTCGGTGCTTTGAGCAGATGTTGAGATACGGAGCGACTTACGAGGAATCCAAGTGTAAAGCCGATGGCAAACGGAGCAAACCCAGCTTTGGTGGTACCAGAAGTGGTGTAAATGGTCAAGTAGCGCCCAACCGACTTGTCATCTGCTTGTGCGGCTGCGGATCCCCCTGCGCCCTTTGCCTTGACCTTGACTTCGTTCGATGTATCAACTAAATAAACGAAAAGAGAGTGCAGTAGCTTCATTAGCTAGCCAGTCAAAACGGTCAAAAAAGATGGAATAACATGACCAGACCAGTATCAAAAGCCGTTGCAAAAATCACGTAAACGAGGATAAACGTCAAGATCACTTCCATGAAAAACGCTTGAGCCAAATGCGCGCTCGAGTCAATGTCGACCACAACAGAGGCCGGGATGCTGCTATATCCAGGGTGAGGGCCCGGGAAGACAATAAGAAGTGCCACAACCGAAAAGATGGACGCGAACAGCTGGATTGAAATAAACGCAAGACCTAAATGAGAAAAAAGAACAGAGTTTAAACATAAAGAGGAATACGGTTTTGGTCTATCACAGTGATCACTCTAGGCTTAACTTGGGGTTTCCCCACTAACCTTTCCGCAATGAAACCTTTCCAGTCACCATAGTCGCAAATGTTACAGCAGGGTTGAAATGGGCACCAGACACATCCGCAAAAGAGTAAATCAAAGCAATACTGCAAAAAGCGGTTGCGACAGCTCCGAGCGTTAGATTTTCAGGTTGTTCTTGTCGGCCATTGTTCACTGCCACGGCTTCAACAATGAAAAGGAAGAGAAATGTGCAGAGGCCTTCACCAAAGACTGCACGGAGAAGCTGGGGTCGGCAACAAAAAAGTTTTACATTCCAGTCGAAGGTGGCAAAATACCGACTAATTTCTGGGTTTACTTACCACCCGCCTCTTCTCTGTCATTGCCCATGAGAATTCCCTCCAGTCCTGTTGGAATTCTTTAATCCACTCCAGAGGATTCCAGCTGAACTTGCCGGGTGCATCATTCAAATCATCAAAAGGTGCGATTTCGTCGTCGTCTGGGGCCACGGAGGTTAATCCCCGACGCTCAATGTCAACGGCATAATCCGTCGTCGGGGAGGAAATCTTTTGGAGTTCCGTCATTGAGGATTAGAGCTTCCCTATCGCACTTCTATTAGCTTTGCTTTAGTAAGTGTGAGGTTTAATAGAGGAATCTCGTCGTATTCCACAGATCGCTATGCTTATATAATTCCAACGACTGATTATCTCATCATAACAAATCTCCGATTTCGAGATGTGCACAGATATCGAAAGTCAAGGAAATAGAAATTCAAACGGAGCATACAAAAATTATCCACAAAATACACAAAAAAAAAACAAAAAGTCCAATGCATGGAACCTTCCCTTCCCCTTCACAGATTGCGCGTGAAAGAAAAACAAAAGCCAACGAATCCCATATCTAGAACTAATCTATCTCTATGTACACTACCTTGCATTGGCATAGACCTTCATGCCGCTGGTCCACTCGGACCTGAATAGGTTTCAATCAACATTTGTCTAAACTTTTCCATCTCAGCGGATCGCTTATTTTGCAATGTCGTCGGAGAAATATCACCCGTATTTGCAGCAGCTTGGGAGAAGGTCACTGCACTTTGATCTGGTAGCAACGAGCTCATGGATTTGGAGTGGCGGAGCGTGCGGTCGGCTGTTGCATAACCAGATACTGGAGGTGTGGTTTGAGGAGGAGGGGTGTAAGGATCGATGGCCGTTTTGAGGGCTTTACCGACTTTACGGACATATTTGGTGAAATGTGACCCGGAAGCATTGGGTAGCTGAGGCGACGATGCGCTACGTTCTCGTTGGAAAGAGGGAGTGCCCGGAGGACTCGGATAGACGGTTGCAGTGCGGGTGTTCATGGACACACCAGGTATGGGGGCCGGTGATGTGTAATTCCTCTCAAGAGGATCCTGCTCCTCAAACACCGAAAAAACGTCCGATCGTTTTCGTGAGCCTTGTCCTCGGAATACCCCAGTCACTGTTTGCGCCCTTTGCGCCGTTCCGTAAGTGTTACTGCCGAGCGAGACGTTGTCATTTATGTAAGATTCTGCATACTGGGTTTTCCCCTTCAATTGCAGCTCCCTGAGAACATTGTTGATGGGTACGGTCTTGATTCTCGCAGATGTGCTGACCAACTGAGGTCCTGTAATGGAACTTGGAGCAGTCTTCAATCTTTCCGGAGCGGAATGTACTGGTGTAACAAACGACGTCACGTTGGTCGGATCTCCCCACGTTCTACCAAGTGTCGATGGCCGTCCTGCGGGCCTCGGTGACAAGTCCATAACACCCATACGGGAAAGGCGGGGATGGAGATACTGGGGTGGGAAGGTGCGTGGCGGTGGGGGAATGTGGAGGGTGAGGGGTGTGAGGCGTTTTGAGTCATTGTTTGCGGTCGGTGCGAGTTGAATCGGCGCCCATTGCGGTGCGGAAGGGATCGAAAGGGATGAGTAACAAATGCTGGATCGTCTCACCGGCGGGACAGGAATAGGGCTGCCCTGACTTGCCGGTGATGATGTTAGATAGGAGGGCAGTGCTGGGGCTACGCTAGCACGTCCAGCAATTTCTTCCGTGCCTCTAGATGAGGTCGATGTTCCCAAGTGACCATCGGTTGCTGTTGGTGGAATAATTCGCCGTGGTGGTGGCTGCAAGGAAGACTTTTGCTCAACAACAGGGGAACTTGGGTCGTCCTCTGTCAGCTGAGATGCAGTATCATCCCCATCCTCATTCACCTCGACGACTTCCCCTAAACTACCAAATTCACCCGTCTGCCTTGGTCCAACAGAATACGGCACCAAAACAGCCAATCCTGCGGCTGCGTTCGACTGCCGTATTTTATGCATCTCGCGAAGTCGTTCCTTGACTTTGGGATCGTCAACTTGCATCAGTAGGGACTGCATATACTTGGGCCGACCCATGGGTAAGTGAAATTTTTTCACCGTCACTGGCACACTATCGGCAGGCTTGGCATCCTTATTCCAATTGTCAAAAGATGTTGCGAGCGATACATCGGCTTTTGGTGAAGGAAAAGGTTCGGATGTAAGTTCTTCATACTCTTCTTGTATCTGTACCAGTAGATCCGCGACATCTGCTTTTGTGTTCTTGACTGGTTCGTAAATGTATGAGTGCTTGGAAGAGTGCCACTGTAGAGATGAGCTGGACCGAGAGGTGCGAACGGTTAACGAAACCCGTTGCGCAGACTTTGCATCAACATCTTGCTTTGCATTGCCATCCGCCTTGCCCCAGGCGTCCTGCGTCTCCATGCATTCATTTCCATCCTCGTCCACCGCAACAGGGGATTCTCTTGTCTCTGACATTTCTGCAGCTACAGACAGAGCTGGGGAACTAGACTCGGAAGTCGCTGGCCGAGAAAGAGTAGTAACTCTCAGCAATTCCAGTTCTTTCTCCAGCTGCTGTAAATGGCCCTTTGTATCGATAAGTAGACTCGAGGTCTCTGCTCCATCCATTTCTTGTGACGTGGCCACATACGCTGGTACACTCCGAGAGGATGAGGCTGTCTCGCCATGATTGGCTGCCGCACTCCCATTCTCATTTTCATCTTTTGGCAGATTGTCATTTTGTCCTCCAGATCCGAAGGTGGGAGACATCCAGACACGTTCAACTTCGTCTTCCACCTGCATATCTTTCCGAATTTCATACGAGTCGTCTAGGGACAATTGTAATTCTTCTAATCTTCGCTGCTTTTCGGCAAGGTTCTTCATGTTTTGGACCGACTCGGCAAATTCGCTTGCGTACAGGCTTTTCTTTCGTTCGATCTCGAGTGACCTTGCCGTGTCCGCGATACGAGGGGACGCTTCGCCCCCGTTCGTAACAGCAGGAGACGCCAGCTGTGCATCCGAAGGCTTTGCAGGAGTCCTACTTTGCCATGCAGTTAGCAGTTCTCTTTCCACTTGCATCATTTCGTCCTCCGTCATGATGGGTGTTGTGTCTTCTTGCAAGGCATACGCTTCAGCATCGTACATTGAAGGTCCAGTGCTGCGGTTAGTTCGAGAATACAAGTCGTGATCGTGATCGGTTAAGCGGGTATGGACAGTTGCGGCCATTGCCCAACTGGATGACAAGGGCAGGTTTCTTGAGTTCCGCCCGATTGTTAGGATAACTGCTTTCGCCAATTCCCCGGAAACTCAAATGTCCGGGCTGCGAACGTGCAAAGGTGACGGGAAGGGCGGTGGAACGAGCACCCCGCTGCCTTTTTCTCACGCTCTTTGTTCAAGCATACACGAGCCCTATGCACGCAAAGTGGGCAAGGGGCATGTTGAGATACTCAACAACTTTGACCTGAAACACGGGGGTACAACGGCATTGGCGCCCACCACATTTGAAACGCAAAGGGGGGACCGCCATTTTTGTTATAAACAAAAGGCTCACGTCAGCAAATAAACACACTTGCTGGCAGAATACTTGGTCGCAATAGTGTGCAGGTGGTAGAAAATGTCACTAGGGACAGATTCTCCCTCCAACCCACTACAGCCGGTTCTAATTTACAATTAGCCAGCCTGTCCAACCCTTCATAACCTATCCTGCAAACGAGTCCCACCCCTATCCTAACTCGCTACAGGTTCCAGCCTGGGTTGAACTGGGGTACAGTACGTGCAAAGCAGCAAGGGCGTTCTCCGTTGTTCTCGTTCATGTGGAGAAAAATATTTCGAATGTTCCTTGCCGCATTAACGTCTCGATTCCAGTGAGTCAAACATAAGTCGTTGCAGACCTGGCAAAACACACAAATTCAACTTCACTTTTGTGAAACCGAATTCATGACGGCCCAACGTACCTTGACCTGCCAGTGTCGAGTGCTTTTCGGCAATTCACCATCGCAATGTGAACACGTTATGGACGTTCTGAATTCGTCAATCATTCGAACCCGGTGTCTCCTTTTTAACTCTTTGGCCATCCTAGCGAGGGGTGTCGAAGGTCCGCCTTTGGAGTTGTGTCTGAACTTTGCATCGCCCAGCGCCACAACCGTGCGTCTGTCATTCTTGGTAATTCTTCTTACGATCGTAGCCCAGACTTTCTGCTTGCCAATGTAAGTGTGCAACTTTTGACGGGTGAACCGCCGCGCTCCGTAAAAGTCGACCAAGGTTAACAGATGCTGCTGCACATATTGACAGTGTTGTCGAAAGTTCTCAATATCTGGAGTGCGTGGTGTGGGACATTGCGTTACGATCGACTGGACTGCTGGGTTGTTCTTTAACCATCGGTTTCTAGTCTTCTGACTTGCCACCATGCCCGTGAGTGAGTAAAATTCCTTTCTGGACATCCTCACAACATTTTCGTTCCCATCAACAGCTGTAAAGATGTCAATCCTACCGGGATCCACACCGACGATGGATACGCCGTCTTCCAAATTCATTGCTCCATATTTTCCGTCATCGTCGAAGCCATAGTAATTGTGACTCTGTCGCCGCCGAACGTAACGTTTCTGGTAATAGTAACTGCAAGCGACTCCGTCGGTCGAGACGCCGTATGCAAATGACTTGTTGCTCGTCTCGGCAATATCGGGGAACAGGGTTTTCCAATAAACGAGAGCGTTTGTCCGGAATTCAGCTGCGGGTACATCCTTCCTGGTGAATAGATCCACTCTCAGGCACAGTTTGTAAAGTGCATTGGTATCGAGACGGATGTGGCGAATCCCGTAAGTGGTAATTGGGACCATGGAGAAATTCCTCTCTCCGTGCTTGGCAAAATACCTTTGAAACTTCCACATCAAAGGAAAGTATGTCCACCAATGGTCAAATGACACCTCTTTGGTGATGTCAACGTCATATGTCATCAAGCATGCCTTTAAGTAAAGAGAATGCTCGTTCAAGTCATCTTCCTTGTTGAACAGAATTCGGATTTTATCTCGCTTGAGATCTGGGTACGTCTTCTGCATCTTCATTCGATACCACTTGAAAGCCCATTTGCGAATGTTTGTTGATACATGGTTCATGCAGTTGGTCTCGTAATCTTTGGCCATGTTTGAGATCAGCTGGCTGAGGTAGGTAACATCGTATCGAGATGTTTGACGGTACAAGGTGCGATGAATCGTTTGCAGTTGGGGGGAAGATGCTTTTGCCAAAGCAATAATCTGGAATGGTTGGTGCAGAAATTTGTTGTAACTACACTCGGGGATTTGTTGCTTCCTCTCCAAAAGGTCCAGGACGAACATGTTGAACAACCGCGTGGCTTCAGCAGCGATACAAGTCAAGGTTCTCGCAGCATGTGCGATAACAACTTGCAAAGGGGACCGTTGTCCACTTTTTACAACAGTCGAAAGAATGAAGATTTCGTCATTGGGAAGGTCGGTATCCCTCTTCCTTTTCAAAGTTGTGCGTACTTCGTTTTTCTTTCGAGGTTTGTAGAAGGAGCAAAGTTTGCTGGAAGCCCGATGATGGTCGGTGCCGTTACATGTAGGACATCCCATATCAGGATGGGTTAAAGGAGAAAATGCCGCGACCATGGCCACTATTTATGTTTGTTGTCATGAGAAAACGGGTCCAATATGTGTGGCCAGCATGAAAACGGGTCCAATATGTGTGGCCAGCATGAAAACGGGTCCAATACCTGCGGCCATGAATGATTGCAATTACTATCCCTTGCAGCCATCTGACGGCCATCTATGAGAGGAATATTCTGCAGTTTGCCACATATATGACACTCCATGACTCAATGTATCGACTCAGTTTGTGTATTGTTTGTGACATTAGTTCTTGCCAATACACTATGTGACGGTGCTGGTGTGCTTTGGATCTACAGGCGTGAACCCTAAATTCTATTTTATAAATACGCCTACGAAATGGTCGATGCGGATGACAAACAGAGATTCTTCAAAGTGCTGAGCACCTGGAAAAGTCAACCGACTGGTCCAATATTTTCTAACAACATAATGGCAGGTATAGAAAGCGCTATGAGGAACGCCGCAGAGATCTCTGATAAGAATCGCCTACCAGAATCCAATGACACTTCATTAACCTGTAAATGGAATAATGAAACGAGTGATGGAATGCATTGCAAAAAGTGAGCTGATCGAATGGCTGATCGAATCACAAATCGCTAGCGAATCATGCGACTGGAATTCAATGTAACCAAATATAGAAAGTGGTTTGTGAAAGAAAAGAAGCGAAGCGAACCGTTTCTTTCCTTCCTTCCACATTTCGTTTCTCGCGGAACCACCCTTCAAGAAACCAGCAACCAACTCCCGCGGTCGTTTGCCCTCGCCCCTACGCGTCCGGACAAAGGGTAATCTTGGGGCTTCTTGTAGCCCACCTTTTCTGTGTATAGTATCAAGCTGACTGTTTGCGCGCAGTTACCCATTGTGCATATGGAAAGCAGCGTCGGCCAAGCTCTCATCAGCCTCTCGCAAATGACTGAGCAGCAGCACCACGAACTAGCCCAAAACGCTCAAGGGGCGAACGCACTGCCGTCGACTCCCCCGCTGATGGAACCATTGGTCCAGACAGAACAGGCTCGTCAGAGGTTAATTGAGCAGCTGCACCCTCATATCCCTTCAGAAGCCACCAGCCTCTTGTTTGATGCGGGTTATGAAACCATCGACGCCATTCGCACACTCAACGTTAACTTGACTGACCCAAACAATGATCTCGTTTCGGCCGAGTACTACACAAAGAGAACTTTGAAGCCTGGTCATCGCAAGTTGGTTATTCAAGTAAGCTATTTTTCTTGGAATTGATGGTTGTATTCACTTTTAACGCGTATCGTTGTTAGTATGTAACCAATCCACCATATGGGCTCGATCCAAATGATCCCGCCAATGCAAATGTTCTGGCTGCACTGGGTGCGTCTCCGGGTCCCCGTAAGCGTCGCCGAATGACGGATGAAGGGAGCCCTCTAATGCAGAGTCCACCAGATTTGCCTACTTTACTCGCGTCATTGGAGCGTCACTTGGCAGAGTCACCTGTAACGAGAGCGCTAAGAAAGGATGTGGACTATCGGGTTGGTGTTGAGCATTCTAGGGATGGCCGCGGGGCAGAAGGAGTATGGAAGTGCCTCGTATGCAACTCGCGTCCCGTAACCATTTCGCTTCGAAACGGAGGTCGCCAGCCGCAGCTTTCAAATGTCGGAACTCACTTGAAGACGGTAAAGCACACCACTGCATTGGAGCAGCGCAATGCGAGTGCGCAGTTTCTCGGTGCAGTAACAAACGGTGACCCAAGCCAGATCACAAGCAACCCTGCTGCAGCCGCTGCTGCAGCGGCCGCAATGGCGGCTGCTGCCCAAAACGCGTTTCAACAGCACCAACATCCAGGAGTAAAGAACGTGTATGATAATGTTTCCAATGTGGGAGGTGGACATCTTCCGCAGGTGTCAACTTCGCTGGGGGGTAGCCCGCATGTCTCTTCGACGGCCCCTCAGCAAACACACCAGCACCAATCACATGGACACCCTGGGCATCCGAGTCATCAGCACCCACAACACGGAGGCCACAGTCAGCTCGGATTGGATGAGCGCAAGTCGTAGCTGTGGGAAATGGGGGAAAGTCTGGGCATATCCGATGAGTGAAATATTGCTTGTAATGTGTATTTGAGAATAGGCGCTGGAGTTGTTTTGCTTTTCTTTTCGTAAATAGTTTATGGGGATGCTCGGTTTTGGGCAGTCTCGTGCAGAACTTGCTTCATGAGCAAATGCACGTACTTGGAACTTGATAATATATAATGTTTCTCCAAATCTCTGTGCATCTCACCATTTACAGGATCAGGGCTTGTCGTATTCCCTGGACCGCACTTTAGGGTCAAAGTCAAATGCTGAAAGTTGGAGAGGTTCCAGTGATCCCAACGACGATCGAAACATCAGAGTAAAGGAACCATTGACAATGGCTTAAACGACTAGTGTGTCGTTTTCGGATTATATTACAATTATATTTACAAGCTCGCAAATCATGTACATAAAAGAACCAAAAGTATCCGCATCAGGAGAGGGAAACTTCTTCCCATCCAAGAGGGTCAACCTTCACCATAAAATCCGCCAAAGAAACACCTTTCACACGCAATTTGACTCTGGCATCCTTCTCCTCTGTTCGCGCCCGTCGAGTTCCACATCTGGTGCGTAACCATGGAGCTTGCTGTCCAAAGTCCAGGACAACATAACCAGGAAGAGGTGTTTGAATGTCCGGATGCACATCGAGAATTCGACTCGGATTGACGGCAACTCGGGGGGGATGGGGGTATGGAGCTGTTTGAGAAGTCGCTATACTCCAACCACTGTTTTCCTCGCTATCCGTTTCCTCCAACACCAAAAATCCCTCACACCAATTTTGCACAAACTCATCCAAGTCCATACCAGGCGGCAATGTCAAGGCCCGCTGTCCAGGGTTCAAACTCCAATCCCGTTCAGCATAAAACTCTTTTCCTTCGTTCTGTATCCCATGAGGGTCTTCAAACCCTTCATCACCAAGTTGATCTTCTGTTATCGCATTCGTGCCAACAACGACCAAGAGACCGCCATCCATATCATCCACGGCCAAAACCACGTTCCCGTCACGTTCCGTCACTGCACATATTCGGTCGCGGAGGACAAGACGCTGTTCTTTGGAGACGGGATCCCATAAAGGGACGAGGGAATGTGAGCTTGATGGGAGGGACGACGTACGAGGGTGGAAAGGCATTGAGGATATGGAGGTTGAGGAAGCGGAAACTGAATGGCTGGCTGGCCCGTTGCGCGGTCGAGTCAAAAACGTCAACATTGTGAACCAGTATTATACCCTTTGATACTTTTTGTCAGAATACGTCAACTTTATAACGACGGTCGTCCCTGGCCCCGCAGTAGAACAAAAAAAACCCCCACAAGAGGCTGGGTACACTTTCTTTGCTTGCTGAACAAGACCAACAGCCGTATTTAATGATTGAAAAGCGCGCGGCTGTGTAAGCAAGAATGTGCTCAGCCCTGATCAAACGGTTCAAACCATTTGCTTCAGGATTAATGAAGTTTTTTCAAATTTGGAATATTTTTCCCCCCCAACATGTATCTGTCATGCGATTCGTTCTTGTCGGCATTGATGCATTTAACAGGATTGCGAATGGAAGCCCAAGTTTAATAGCGTGTCGTCCAAAATAGATCATGGTTGACGAGTAGTGTTGTCTCAGTACTTTAGATTTTCATGATTTGGACAAAAAGTGCTCGTGAGAAGGATAAGCTTGAGCTGGTAAAAATCAGGGTTCTAAAAGTGTTAGAGCGGGAAGAGAGGCGGTCAAGTGCGCGGAGCAATATACCGCGCTGAACCAGGCACTCCAGTTAACCATTTGGATAAGCACAAATGCGCCCTCGCACACCGATTTCACAATTTAAAAAAGCGCCAGGCATGGGGAAACGAAATGAGGACACAATTCGCTCTATTTACTTTACAACCCAATGCGCAACGACAGCTTTATGCGAATAAGAGTAGCAACTATGACTCCCTGGAACATTTACAGCGTTCTACTCAAGCTTTGCATGGAAGTGAGACTGGGCTTCCCCTCAAAGGTAGATATTGCGGCCAAGCATCTACTTTGCTTGATGGTATAATCACTGGAACTATGCCGGTAGGAGGGAGGTGGTCGAAGGAACATCCGGCTGAGCACTGAGTGCGGGTATGGCCGGAGAGGAGGTTGTTTTACTCGTTGGAGACTGTACTCCAGCTGGGGCGGCATGGTTGGCGACTACTTTACTGTTGTCGGACGCGCTGGTGGGTGTGGAGGCTGCGGAATCTTGAGGCATGCTCGTTGGTGCCGTCGTCACAGATTCGACAGACGCCGTTTCCTCCGTTCGTCGTCTTTTTACTGGTTGTTCTGGCAATGACTGATGCTGTGCTTCAGCAGTCGCCTGTCCCTCCACATCTATACCTTCTTCACTAGCTGATTCCTCTTCCCGCGGCCTCTTGCGGTCTCGCTCCACGGGCGTCAAGTGTTTTCTCTCTTGCTCCACAGGACGGTCTTGTCGTCGCCAGAAGAATCTAGCAACAGCTACACGTTCGCCATTAGCAAAAGCCACACCCGCTTCCGTCCACTCCAAATCTTGCCATCCAAGGTTTTCCGCATGGACAGCGGGTGCGGGAGGTGAAGGCTGAGTCGGCCGTCCCAGGCCACCTTTGCATTCTGTTAGCTGGTATAATTCAGCTTGGGAATCACCTTCTTTGCGACGGGATAGCTCATATCTGACGAATTCAAATGTGAGCGTCTAGCGGTACGCAAGACATACACAATTTACGACCTACCTTTTACCATACCCATCTTCCAAAAACAAGGTATCCTTTAACATCCTAATGCGCCAGTATGGCCAATCACGCATACGTCGTAGCTCTTCCCCTGTGAACTCGGCTTTTCGCTCTTGCACTTCTACGCGGCGTTGAACTATTTCCTGCGCTCGCTGAGACGCCGACTCTGTGCCGTCTGCGTAATGTTTGCCTTTCTCTCGAGCGCGTTGAAGGCATGTTTCTGAATCCCAAAAAAGATCTCGTAAATACGGTGGCCAGTCTATCAATAATTTTGGCGAGTATTTCAAACTAACGGACGAGAACCTGATGAGTCCAGGGGAGAAACGGTTGAGCGAGTCCCTCGCAGACAATAACTTACCAGGCTTCTCCATCAAAGTCAGAGAAAACAAACGTGACAGTTCCGAAACCTTCTGCAGGCTCTTTTGTGCCCCACCCCCAGTCTCCTTCCCCATCGTCGTCTCCTTGTTCCATAGCAATCAGTTCACGAGCGACGATTCTTGCCATCGCGCTCCATCCCTTGGCACCCGTCTTTCGTCCCTTACGACCCACAGTACCTTTATCAGCCAACACAACGTTCTCGATTCGCACGCTCTCTCCATCATGCAAACCACCCCATCCCCGTGATTCTATTCCGTTACGCGAAGAGCCACTGTACTTGACCAATCTTGGTAGTATCCTCAAAGTCACGTGTAAATCGTGGTCGGGTAGTCCGTCCCGCGGATCTACCTTTCCTGTGATGGGCTCTGGTGGAGGTTGGGGTAGTACGCGCACGGTGGCTGTTTCTGGGGGTACACTGCTCTGCGTCGCGCTATCTTCGACTGTTGTGCTAACCTGTTGGCCATTCTTGTCTTCGTCGTTAGGACTCAACGGCTCCTGCTTAATCTGAGTTTCAGGTTCCCGACGCTCTGTCGTCAATCCCAGAGCGCGGACAGTCTTTGTTACGGGTGAGTCAATTGGTTTGTACCATCCAGAATGAATAATCACTGCATATAATCTCCGTGAGTGAAATGCCACGGCTGAACCTGCGCAGCGACAAACTTACTGCCAACAACATCGGAATCATCAGCGTATACATCAGTTCCCCACACGGCCGATCGCCGCACGGCAACATTGTTCTTAAATGTCAGCAAGTGCGCTGGAATGCGAACTTCGATGGTACTGTAATGATGTTCGCTAGTGAACTGAGGTAGCAGGAAGAGTTCAATATCTTCTACTCGGATAGACCCGGGAACTTTCACGCGGGGACCAGTATAATTAACATGTCCTGAAAGAATTATTTTTAGTTCAATATAATCGCATCAGTCGCTCAATATACCTTCTCACCTAAAAATCTCTCTTCGACATTTTTCGGCAACTTAATTAATCTTTCATCATTCACAACAGCAACATCCCCAGGTTTACGTTTTCGTTTTGCTTCTTCTTTAGCTTTTTCCATATCAGCTTTACGGACCCCCATTATGAGGACACGCCCAAGCGGCTCGCCCGCTTCTGAATCGGGCCCCTTGGTCCGTCTTCGAAGTGCAGCACCACTGCGTAGGTCCTCTGATTCCAAATCTTCCGAATTGCCAGCAGCACCTGATTCGTCCAAGTCGCCATCCCCAGAGCCAGTGTCGCGGTCTGTAGGTGAACCGGCAGAAGCAGCATGTAAAAGTGCTCCGACAGCATGCAGTTCACTGGAAGACGTTCCTAGGGGAGTCGATGGTTCTCCCGCGGAAGATGGTGGGTTGGGTACTCGGGAGAGGACACTTGGTATGTCCTTTCGCTCATAATCTAGACGCTTCACGGCAGAGGGGTAATAGTTGGGACCGTATTGGGATACGCCAAAGGGGTTGGCGGCAAATGCAGGTCCAGTGCCATTCGCTGCTTGAAGAAATGACGCTGCCGGAGGGGGTATCGTTGCAATGGTAGGGTTCAACGCAGGGGACAACCGGGGCGACTGATAGGGTGAACCTCTGCTAGTCACTGATGTTGACGCTGTACCACTGGTTGAAGTGGTCGCATTACCTTCTCTCTTATAGAGATTGGTTGCTGGCGGCTTTGGCACTTTGCTGACCGGAGAACTTGCATTGAATGGCGGTAATGTCATTCTATTACTGGAAAGGAGGCCAGGAGATGACTGTACTATTGCATTAGTTCCACCAGAAGGAGTTAGCACAGAGGCTGAAGAAGAGTAATGCGGAGCACCAGACGGTCCATATCGTGTAGAATCGGATGCCGCGTAATGACTACTGAGAACAGGAGACCCTCGCGTCCGTTCTGGAAGAGCATCAGCGCTAAAAGATTTCAAGGACGGAAGGGTGGGCGGAGCAGTGCCTGTGTATTCGGGTACCACTCTATGTCCAGCGGACGGGAGGATGGACCTATGATCGACGTCATGGGATGATGCTGAAGGAGGCATTGCCCCCGGTGAAAACAGTGGCATTGCTGGTGGGTTTTGTGCTGGACGTCCGGTAATGGAAGCTATACCTAGATACAGCTTCTCATCAGTACAATCCTATCTGCTAGCACCCATTATGATGTAAACCCAATACTCACCAGGAAGTTCCGGCATCGAGTGCATGTAATGCCTGCGACCACCGCCTAGGTCATCAGCGCCTGCCGGCGACCCGTACTGCGACCGATCCCGACTTCCAGCAGATCCAACCGATCCAGTGTCATCCAGTCGCAAGCGCTTGGCACTGTTGACGGGTGGCGGGGGAGACGCCTCAGATCCAGATCTCCGCATATGCCCATGAAGAGATGGCGGCGGCGGGGGCCCACCACCGGCAGCAAACGAGGTGAGGCTGGAGAGTGGTGGTAAATTATATCTTTCAGATGGAGCCGCTGGTGAGAAGGATGGTAGTGAAAGCGAAGAATCTGATCCGTATCGATGAGATGCTCCACTCCCTGCATCAGGCGAGTGGGATCGCTTTTTGGATTCCATGTCTCCTCTGTCCATGGTCCCACTGGTCCCACCTCAACATGAAATCGCGGAGAGGGGAACGTGTCGCAAAAGCGCTGCTGAGATGGTAGACGCAGATCAGTGTCACGATCAGCAAAAATGCAATTGTCAAAAGACAAACAGTCCCAAGTCTATTGGTAAGAGTATCCTCAATGACAATAGTGGTTCTCGTTTTCCCAGCACGCAGTCCCAGATGCCTTATCTACTTGTCCCAGCTGAACGTGTCTCGGCATTGGGATCTCTGTCTCTCAAGGTCCATACGCACACACAGACAGACACACACCTGGAATCCAAAACGGGAGCACCAATTTCAGCAAACTGACAAATAGCGAAAAAGCACTGTGCTATAAAAAAAAAAGTCAGATCAAACACGTTCGACGACCAGAGTTCGAGAGACACGCGATTGGCAAACCTGGTCAAAAGCGCGGCGACTGCACTCGCAAAGAGTGACTGCTCAACAGCTCAATGAAGCAAATATCTAGGAGGAGCAAAGCAAAACAAATGCTCCACCGCTGTCGCAAGCCGTCAGAATCTACAAGGTCGCAGCGACAAAAGGTGGGGGGCGGGAATCGAAAACGCAGAAGGGCTTTTCAAAACCTCGCATCTCCAAAGGTCTGGTAAAGCAACGAGCTGTTAGGGCTACAACCCTCCCGATGTGTGCTGCTTAGTAACTCACGTGGCTTAGCACGTTCCGAAGATATGAGGCTTGTTGGAAGGGAAATCAACTATAAGCTGCATCTATAAGTGGTGTAAAATCCAAGTCATCAGCCCCCTCCTCCAATGATATACAGGCTAGACTAACCGACAATATACATGCCTATTCCAGCTGTTGGCTATCACTAGATGTCCGACTGGGCTGCTGAAGCACCAAATCAAATCCCCACTCGCTTCCCCCGCGCCCGTACCCTCCGCTGCCGGTTCCATATACCTTGTCCCAATCCTTTAACTGCTTGCTCAATTCGGCTCTATCGCTCAGAGATGGTCTTACATCTCCCGATTCGAGGACAGTCTTAAAGTCCTCAAGAGTAATTGACGGTCGTACTGTGAGATCTGCACCGGATTCGACGTGCGGTCGAAGAGATGCGTATGCTGAAAGGTTTTGGAGGGTTAGAATGTTGGAGAGCACGAAAATAGAGAGACGGTAAACGTACCAGCGGCTATGCAAAAGTTGCGTAAATCGCTACCACTCCACCCATTCGTCAAGGAGGCGACTTCCTCTATAATTCTCTTTCGTTCCGCTGGTGTATTTTCTCCCAAAGGATCGTCCTTTAACTTAATCCCTAGAATCTCACATCGAGCCTCATAATCGGGCATATCAACCAAAATCCGACGAGGAAGTCGTCGAAGCACCGCTTCGTCCAAATCAAACGGTCGGTTTGTTGCACCGACTACGATCACGCCATTGGAGTCACTTTGCAACCCATCCCATTCTTGCATAAATTCGTTGATGGTATTGGTGACATGATGGGCTTGATGTCTTTGTCGGGCACGTAGTAGGGCGTCAATCTCATCCACAAAAATAACGCAGGGCCTGAGCTTCCGAGCCAAGGTAAAGAGAGACTTTACGTTCTATTTGTATGTATCCGTCACATGTAAGTATTTTCTGGATATTCCAAAGCAAATTTGAACCCCGACTAGACGCACCTTTTCATTCTCGCCAACCCACATGCTCTGAATGTCACTCATTTGAACGTTGAGAAAATTCGCTCCAGACTCTGCGGCCACAGCACGCGCTAGTAATGTCTTTCCAGTTCCTGGTGGACCAAACAATAATATACCCGTCGTGCTTTGCCTATGGACCAACTCCAACTATAAATATTTTTACATCAGTTGCTAAAAATCGTGATTTAGAACCCACCGTAGAATACCCGTTTCAAATAGTTCAGGTCGTTGTAATGGTAGTCTTATCAGCTCTTGAATCGTCTGTTTGGTCTTCTTCAAACCTCCCACTCCTTGGAAAGACGCCACAGCCGGATCTGGTTTCACCAAACACTGGCCCAACAACTGCTCTTCACGCTGCGAAAGTCGCGTTCTGTCACCAGGGTTCTTGAACACACCCGCATATGCAGTCCCATTCTTCATATCCTCAAGCGTGTTTCGTTCCAAAGAGCCAATGCTGCATGCATTAATGAAATCGTCTGGGGTGACGCTCAAGACGGCATTGTTTTTTGATTTTCGTCGTCCATCAGGTTTTCGTTGGCGGTAGGCGTCAATGCTCAAAAACACTAATGTTTCGACTTCGAGGGGGGAAAGGAGACGGTCGCTAAGCAGCGCAAGTGAGGCATTGGAGGGTCGCGGAGGTGCTGTGATCAATTTGGATAGACGCTCATCTGCCAGAGGGAGCTGAACATCCGCTGCTCCCGCCGCAAGAGCAAGTTCCCGTTTGTTGGCATTCCAATACAGTATCCGCAGATCATCTTCCAGCTGATTCTGTAGCCTCTTTAGCTCGCCTCCCGGAGGCGGGAATACATTGACCGCAGTCACCCCAAGATACTTATCAAGCGGCGTATCGTACGACAGCCCCTTGGGTCGCCGCCGTTGGCCACCCAAAATGTTGAAACCGCCAGGACCCCCAGGCTCTTCATCAGGTGGGCCATCTTCCTCACCCGAGTTCAGAGCTTTAATCAGATTCCCTATGCCACCCATCCGATTTCCTTGATTAGACGTCTTTTGAAATGTCGATGTATGTGGTGCCAACAGCAGGATATTTGTTCCCTCGTCCCTACACTTCTCCAGGCTCTTTGAGAGTAAAGCAATCAGATCTGGCAGCTTGCCTTCCTCACTGGTAAGTAGCGCGAGGAGATCCTCATAATAAATAATGACTGGTCGGCCAGTGCTTTCTGCAGCAATCTTGTCGAAGAAGATCGTAAAAGCATCGCCGATAAGTTTCTGTGCATCTCCCAAGGGTTCCGTAGCTCCAGTTCGGTTTCGGGCAAGTACTAGGCGTTCGCCCTTACTGTTCTGGTAACCCTTGAACCAAGCTGTTCAAAACCTCGCATTTCAGCATCACTCTCATAAGCTTCAAAAAAGATCAACACTTACGATAGGGTACAGACGGCACATCTTCATTCAAATCCGCATCGTCTTCCTGCGGTTGTGCAGATATATTACCTCCACCACCCAACGTTGGCACCAGCTGGACTGCGAGCATGCTCGGAGCTCTTCTCCGACCCATTGGCCGCTGCCCCCCTCCACCTCCATACATCCCTCCATGCTGATCTGTCTTTAACGGTGGCCCAGTGACAACCTTATGCCCAGACAATCGTTCAAATAGATCGTCATTGGTGACAGATACAAACAAGGCATTGTTCTCGGCGGCCACTGATGTGGCCAAAGTTCGAAGATATATTTCCGATCCTTTCAGGGGACATGTCAACAGAACGATTCCTTCACGAAGATAGGGAAGTCGTTCAACATGAGCTGCGTGCAATGTCGGATGGAGCATAGTAGATACAGTGGCCCGCAGTTGCGAGACGGTACTGGGGTGAACCGGATATGGGAAGGTATCGTCCAGTCGGTGAGCGTTCGCAGGCACTTTCATCAGCTGTGGCAAATTCCTTTCAATCGGCATAGGGCGCAACCCGACCAGATGTTGTAACGTCACCGGCGCAACCATGCCATGCGACTGTCCACGACGGACATGCTGTTTCTTCTCCTTGTTCAGTTCAGAACCCTTCTCTCTTGGCACAGTTGTGTACTTTGCACCACCAATAAAAGAGTTTTGCGCAAAGTTAGCAGCTGCGCTGCGGTTCGCTTCGACTTCTTCTTCAGTGGGCAGCTCTTCCGCGTCCTGTTCAGCGCTGGCTTCACGACCATCTTCTTTCGGGTCGCTGTTTGGAGATCCAGGTTGAGAATGTATGTGTCGAAGGGCTGCGTATGGAGGCCGTATTTGTGTAAAGGCTTTATGTATTCTTCTAGTAAGCATATTGGATGAATATTGACCAAGTGAGGTCATGACCAAATGACCCTCCCAGCTGCAAAAGCAACGTGAGGCAAGTTGAGGTTCTGCTTGGCTGACTCATCCATCGGTATCTATGGCAACTGCGCAAATTACGCTAACCAACTTTCCCAACTCTATCCCGCACCAGATACCACATGTACAATGCCCAAAAAGTCTAACGCTACGTTTGCGTATCGCTCTTCACCAACTTGTCGTCATATCCAAATGTCTTTAAATCCTTCCACGTTTCATCCTCATCGCTCAAAGTCTGCAAGTGGTACATATCCAGGAACCCTTCCAGCGTCAATTTGCCGTCTGCAGTAGTGTCAAAGGAATCACTGAGTTCCTCAATGGTTGCCTCATCAAACTTGAAGTTTGCAGTCATAATGAGAAATGGTTACAGAGAGCAAGATAGACCTTGTATGTACCTTTTCGCCATTGGCTGCGATAGCAAATGCGTCAATTTCCGCTCGCGATAGGTTCCCGTCCTTGTCTACGTCAAAGCGGGAAAAGATTTCCTTGAGAGCAGATTCTGCTGCGGGAGTGAAGACGTCGTCGTCGGTGAGTAAGGGGGCGCGAGCGTCGGGCATGGTTGTTTGGAGGAGTAGATAGAAAAGGCTTACGATACCAGAGTTCTTGGATGAAAAGAATTAAAAATCGTTCGAATGCATGCTTGATTTGCCACAATTTATGGCACACACACTGTATTCGGCTACATTTCAACAAAAATCATGGTTCCAGCCTGTCCAGACTAGAAATCATTTACCAAAGCATACAGATCATTGTTTTTTCAACATAGATAACAAATAAAAAGCTATTTACAAGGATGAATTGCCCCGCAATTATCCATCTATAGTATCTACAGCGATGCACCAGTGCATAGATCAACTTCAAAAGCCGCCAAATAGATAGCTATAAATACTCGCACCGAGAACTTTCCAGTCCAGCGCTGTGGACTCGGGTCTTGGGCAGTCATAGATCTTGTCTAAAAAGCAGCCAAACACACGCTCATAAATACAAGGGCGGCTCCCACCGTCCAACCTCGAACCAAGAGTTTCTGTCCAGCACTGTAAGCTTGGTTCTTGGGTATGGGTGTACTCTGAGCAGCGACCGGCACGATCTGGCTCACGACCTTTGTATCAGAGTTGTCGGCAGAAGGAGTTGGAGTCGGGTATATGGTTGCCGCGGGTTCGCCAGTCTTTGTTGTGGGGGGAATATTGGCAACATTCGTAGTGGGGTATACGGCATACGACGCTGTCGACGTCGTTTTCTTGGCATTTGCAGCTCCCGGTTTTTGTATGGGGGGTAAGGCATTGGCGGGTAACAAGCATCTCTTTCCAGTAGTGCATTCTTCCGCCGAGCCAAAGCAAACGCCACCACACAATGCAGAGTCTACTACACGGTAGCGACAGACCTGCGGATCGAGCGGATTGGAACCAGGAAAGACACTCTGAAAGCTCGTCCGCGCAACATCTAATCCAGCTGCACCTTTCTGGTCCACAGCAAGAACGTAGGTGGATTTTGTAGATGTGGAGTTGCCATCCGGCAGGATCTCGAGGCATGCGTTGCAAAGTGACTCGCCCAACCCTGATACGGCGGTGATGCGAGCTGTATTGAGAGCACTGTATCGAATACCGCACCACCCTGGACCTGATGGTAATTAAGAATAGAACTGTGTGAGCAATGGCCGATCTCCCCGCAGGCGCGCGCGTCAAATAAACAAGAACACGCACTGTTATCATAGGCTTCTCCTAAACGCTCTTGATCTCCTTCATAGTCATGAAATGTGCATGGAGCAGAGATCCACTCTGATGGAGCAGCTCTAGCCGCAATAGCAGCAACAACAAGCAGAAAAGTAGAGTACGTGATGCCAAACATCTTGCAACAGAGGTTTTTTTCATAGAAGTTTCGCGATGAAAATATCAAAACTATTGTCAAATGTGCAAATCTACACTTGTGGACGGGGCATTGGGGCATCCAGCAAAGCCTTTTATATTCTCCCGTCCAACAAGTCCGCTTGCGCACCGCTACGACCGCGCCCATCCTGCGGACGATCGGCGCTGAGTCTAACCCGTGGGAATCTTTTCACACTTCAAACTGTTCTTTACAAGAAACAAATCTCAACTAAAAAAAAAATAAAAAAAGATGCAAGTTTCACAAACCTCAATAAACTTGTAAATCATCTCGGCCAGTGGCTTTTCCGTTCATTCGTTCATTGAATGGCTTGCCTTATTTGCCCTAATAAGGAAACGCTAAGCTTTTTATTTTTTTGCTTTTATCTGTTGTCTCGCGTGTCTCTTTCCCAAGAGTTGCCTTTTTTTGACATGATCGGCGGTCGGGCCGGTGGGCGCAACGAGCTTAGCTTCGCGCCTACCTTCACGCGTGGCGAGGAAATGGTGAGATCGTCCAACGCGAACCATCTCCCTGTCCCCAGCATTTCCACCACACAAAGGGTCGGTGTCAATATTGTCGTATCCCAGGCCAAAACAGGGTGTAAGGGTGAACGATGATGATTATAGTAAGCTGAAGTGGCACGAGACATGCTCAATCCTGCTCCCCATTACACTCCAGTAAAGGATGTGGGTTGCGCCCGTCAACTATCAGCTCAGTTCGACATATGGAACAAAACAGAACCAGTCTCAAAAAGGACAAAACTTGCGCCCATCCACCAGCAGCTTCCACCCTGTGAATACGAACAAAGCAATAGCTTCTCCTACAATGCAATATAATGGGGTATCTCTATTATCTTTCTCATCGATACTGCTACCGACTTTCCCAAATATTTAGTGTCTTTTCGGATGAATCTTTGAACCACCTACGGAATGAATTCATGTCAAATAGGATGTAACAAAAACACGCTTTGAAACATTGAGACAGTTCATGTACCTAAGCGCTTAGGGCAATTCACGTGTGTGGAAAATGAAACCTTTTTCTCTAATGGAATTTGGTTACATGAATTGGAAGTTTGTTTTGTTTGTCTCTTCTGTACCTGAAGAGATGATCCCACCAAGTAAAAACCAAATCGCTCTCCTTGCAGAAGGAGGTGGGAAGCGCGAACCAATGAGCAAAGCGTCCCCTTTAAAAAAACATTTATTAATTTCCAGGGTGATCAACGCATATCATGACGCTAAAGTAGTGTAGAGGTGACAGAAACTGGCACTAGCTACTACACCAGGGAATAAACCGGCGACAACCGGTTCGGAAAAGCTATCTAACTACTACTAGGCAATTATACACGCAATACGTAACGGTTGTTCTAACCGGATAACTGCCCACCACCACACGCGGTCCCTACTAGGCCTTGATCCAGAACTCTTGATGGCATTGAAGCCAGACTCTTGCAACCAGGAGCGAATCGACTGGGCAGCGTCACAAGCTGGTGGATTTTCAGTGACAAGGCTTGGAGACTAAAAAAAACTGCATGTCAGCGAGGTGACCCGATGACAAGAAATCCAAGAAATGCCATCGATACATACCAACCAAGCTCAACTAATGTGGCAGTATAATAGTAGGTTTTGTTATCGGATCCGATTGGTTGCCGCTGGTTCTGATCACGGTTGCTGTCGGGCGGTCGAGGTCCTCGACACCACCACATCGGCGTTCTCATGGTTGACCGAGTCGCGATGAGGTTGTGTGGGTCGCAATGAGCGTTGCGCAGATGCTTCGAGTCGAGGATGGGTAAAGAGGAAAGAGGGAAAAGGCCCCCCTTTTATAGACCTTTGGCATGCGCCTCACCGCAGTTTAAAAAAAAAACACTACAATACATGCCACACCAATCTGAGCGATAGAGGGGGGTTCTGATTATGCGATATGATTAACCGGATTAATCCGGATAATAATGGGTCCTAGTGCCATTTTCAATCGCCGCCAAACTATGAAAGGCTAAAAGCCAATTGACGCGAGTGCCGAGGGGGGTCCGCATGGTTCCTCCAACCTAGAGTCTTATTATAATAAAGAAAAACGAAAAACCATTGTACAAAATAACGGTTGATAACTCCAAACCCGCACAGAAGTATTAGACACCATCTCCATATCCCATCATCCAACCCTCTACCGACAAAAGCATTTCGACGGTAACTCGGCCAGACAGAAAAATATGAAAGAGAAAAAAGCTCCAGTAGTGAACATTAAAAAAAAAGACAAGTAAAAGAAAATCATCACCAATGCTATAGCTCCCCTCTCCCATCAATTAGTACACCCTCCAGAGGGACTGTACTTTGTACCAATGAATCCCTCTCCCCCGCTCTCCGACTCTTTAATATTGTTTCTGTCCACGACCCATCCGATCCGACATTACCCTTCGCCTCCATCATATCCCCCATCACCACCACATCCAGTAGTTTGTAGTCATTTGCAAGGCTAACCAACCCCATTCCCGCAGATGCCCGAACCAGATATCGTCTTGCGAGGAAATATGTTGCAGTAGAGTACAGTGCACCGACGAATAGATCGACCATGTAGTGATGTCGTAGATACATTGTCGCCCACCATTGCCAGCACATGTATATTACGAGCACGCCTCCGAGGCGGCGGGAAAAATGTATGGCAAAGAGCATAATCAAGACGGCGAAGCCGCTGTGTAGTGATGGCATTGCGCCAAAGACGAGCGGAGAGTTGTTGAACGCAGATTCGTACATGTGGGTGCCGAAAAGCTTGTCCACACGGGCGAGACCACCAGGGTTCCCAGGCATGGAATATGTCGCAGGCGCGAAACCATAGAGATCATTGTACCCTGAGAATCAAAAAGGTTAAGATTGTGCTTAAATAGACAGCTATGCCTGATCAAACACTTACATGGAGCGGCAGTTGGAAATAAGAGTTGGGTAATGACGCCGAGACTGTTTTGTACACCAAATGCCTGAGCAAACACAATGGCCGTCTTTACACCTGCGTGCCACCACAGCCAGATGGCAAACACAGCAGGGGATATGTAGTGCAAGAGACCGTAGGGTAAAAAGGCGAGCACGTCGGCGACTGTGGAAGGTGTTGCCGCCAAGTCTCTTAGTGCACGTAATACGAGAGGAACAAAGAGGAGAAAGGTGGAAAATTGCGAGCCAGTGACCAACCAACCCCCAGCAACGAGGACAGCAGAAAAGGATAAGAGTCCGAGGGAGTTGTCAAACAAGAGTTCATCCAAGGCGGGAAGGACGTCGACGGAGATGCCTGGGCGCCATGATGACGGAATGAATTGCGCGCATGTGAACAAGAGAAGCCATATCCCTATTGGTAGGACGGCCAATAGTGCGGTTTTGACAAAGCTGCAGAGGGGCGAGCAAACTCCGTTTGCCGAGTGGAAGCAGCCGCGCGGTTGACAAAAGCACAGTCGCCGTAATGATGTTGAGGCGGCCATGTGCTTGCTATGAGTGCGGTGGTCTGTAGAGCGGAATGGTGATTGCGGGTTTGAAAATGAGTGGTCGCGTAAGCGGGTGTGAGGGAAGAGCGTGATCCTTCCTTGTAGACGTTAAAGGTTTGGTGGCGTTTTCGATTTGCTTTTGTCCGTCGTCGTTTTGCGGATGGCGATGTCAAAAAGCAAGTGAGGTGCGCAGGACGTCACGCGGAAACGATGCGGTGTGTGTGTTATCTCGCTGTTTCGTCCAAAGAACAAGGGGATCGTCCGATACCACACTAGTAGTAAATGTGTTTTTTGTTGCGTTCGTCAGGGAGTCTTGAAGGAGGAAGGAAGGGAGGGGGAGAAGAGAGTGAGTATATTTACAAAGGTGAAAGTGGAATAACCTTCCTCCCGAACGCAAATAAAAAGAAAAAAAGGTTGCCAACGGCAAGAAGCTGGCAAGTTGCTCAAGTGCTTTTTTTCCCACGGCGCAATTGACTAACGGCGGATTAAAAATCTCTCTTTCTCTCTCTCTCTCTCTCTCTCTCTCAAACTTCTGGACATGAGTCACAGCGTCATGATTTTCCACAAGAGAAAAAAAGGAGTAAAATTGGCAGAGCTTTTTTTGGGGCTACTCGGCCCTTCTCTCTCTTTCCCAACACAGCATCACACTGCAAAATGGGTGTAGCTCTTACCTGCTTCAGTGCATATGACCTTCCTATTTGATCTCAACGTCTACAACTACTGTGTTGAACGGGTTTGTGTTGAAAAGATTTGCGCGTTTTGTTGTAATTCTTCTTGTGTGGGCTTAGCGGTAAAACCAATCTGTCGACTGATCGAAAATGAGGAAGTTTGAACACTTTCGGATATCCGGTCTCAAAAGAGTGTTCTTGTTGGTGAAACTTGAGAGAGGCTGCCTGACAAATCTCTTTCTTGCCGCGTGGCCGAGTCTTTCCGTGTGTAAGGCAAAGAGAAAATGGGGTTTGACTAATCCCCTTCAAAAGGCTATGAGGAAGGAAAGGAAACGGCCAGATCACAAAACAAAAACTTGTGTGTGTTCTTGTTGGTCAGTTGTTTGTCGTTGGTCGTCGTCGTCGTTAAGAAAGAACAAGGCGATGGAGGAAAAAAACAAAGAGAGCCCAGTATTTATCTTGTTGAAAACTGGGTATTTCAATTATCCCGATAACATCCCCTAGTTCAAAATGAAGAAGAGAAGGGGGGAGATGGAAATAAAGCGTTCCTCAAAATGCAAGAGGGAGAGAGAGAAAAAAAAGGGTAAAAAAAAACACTGCTCGCTTATTATTTTCATGGCTTTGGCCCGTCCTTGCCCAAAAAAAAAATTACCATTTCCCGCGCGCCCAAAAGTCCGATTTCCAGATCTATGGAAATGCCCATCTTGCAAGCATCATAAACTGTTCTGCCAGGAACTGCAATCATCGTGTCTCACGCACGGACCGGGACCTCCTTGCTGCAGAATCGGGTAGCTGGGGTATGTGAATATGACATGAGTTGAAAATAGTGACAGATATCTGAAAATAGAATGCCTCTTAGAGTCGGGGCACGTTAGTATTGTTGCTATTTTGTCATTGCCAAGAGTCGCTTAGTGCGCGCTTGTCGTTGGGATATTTTTGGCAACTACCACAAGAGAAACTTTATAACCCAGTTTTGTGCTTTTGGATGGTTGTGGTACTTTCAAGACGAGGGGCAATTCAGATGCTACTGACAAGAGGTTAAAGCACACATACACACACTTGGCATTCCCACAACAAAAGAGACAAGGACTTTTCATGTCGAACGACCTTGTGGTGAATCTGGAATTGCCCAAAGGGATTTTTGTAAAATGATCCTTAAACTCTGGCTCGGGCACCGAGGGTATCACTTTCACATGGATCATTGGAGATGACGAGAGAGAGAGATGAGAGACATAATGGAATGACGCAGACTGTCTCACGCGACAGATCCCCCAATTTGTGTTCCCCATGTTGAGCAAAAGAACTCATCGTCGGTCCGAAGAGCGGATGTGAGATAAAAACAACCCTTGGCACAACACTTAGGAGCGGAATTTTGTGTTTTCGCAAACGGGTATTGGATAATCTCCGCCGCAACATGCTTAGCCACAGGTCTGGTAATCACTCCCGTGCCACAAGTATTAGGTCATGTCGGCCGGAAACGGCTTTTTTAGTGTGATAAATATATTGTACTATTGCATATGTATACATAGCCTGGATCAGTTCTTAAACCGCAGCATTCGCTACAGCATTCCCTACTTTTGCGTATCCAGCAGGAAGAGGTAGTTTCTCTGGAATTTCATTGACCAGACGCACCACCACCAGCTCTCGAATCCTCAAAATTTGACCAGCACTCCTCGGCCCCACCTTCCTCCACACGACCTGATGTCTCTTGACCAACCCCAATGCTCGCGCATACTCTTTTGTTGTTTCCGGAAGTCCATTAAGGGAGCGGCGAAGACTGATCTCATAATACTTGTAAGGATATGGGTTCTCTGTCCCATCTAGCTTGCTGGCAGGTATCCGTGGCCTGACTAGATAGGACCCGGATGTCTCACCAGCCGGAAACGTTGTCGGCAGAGGTAAAGCGGTATCCGTGTCTGTTATATGGCGCTGCGGTGCAGGTGGACGGGCCAGACGAATGTGAGGTGCCGGCGCAGGTCGGTAGATTGGTTTAAGGTACTTGGGAGCAGGAGCAGGGGGGGCAGAGAGTTGCGCAGACGTTGGAGGTTGCGGGGTAATCTTTGGGAGAGCCTTTCGTGGATAGCTTGTCACAGACGTCGTCGAGAAGCCGCGAGTGACTCCTCGCACCGAATTTCTGAACATGTTATTGATTATAGTGAATGAGAGAGTGCATCGGCCTGTCTGGTATGAATAACCTTGTTGGTTTGGGTGTATGGTAACCATGGAAATGACTAGTCACATGCTACCGTTAGCTTTAAAAGGCAATATTGAAAGTGGCTTAGAGAGAACTCCGATCTGCGCATGGAACCTTTGACGGATGAGCACGTCTGAACGGAAGAGAAGTTGAGCCTACACACTCGAGTTCTGCAATTCAGGTCATTGTTGACATGTCAATGCATGTCCTTGACACAGCAAGCACTTTTATTTAGACATAGATAGTGATTTGGATGTGGCATAAATTTTAAAGCCCGTTCTCGACCAATTCAAATACGGCAATCCCAACAATACTGTTTTCTTATGAGTATCAATTACAGGAGGGGAAGCCAACAAATCTACAGCTCAGCGAATTCTGCACAATGCTCAGAATAAAATACACGATCGCTAGTCACGTGTATGTCCGAAGCAATTTGTGCTGTTTTAGGGTTAATGACACGAGAGGTGCAAGCGTCCTACCAGATGCTGAGAATTGCCGTGCCATTGTGTCCTGTCAGCGCTGTATGATAACGAGCCTGGCTATCCAACTGGAGCTAGCCTTGACGGCGGTCCGTGTGAAAATCTGCCCATAAATACGTTTCCTGACATCCTTGCAGCGCGTTCATTGAAGGAAGAATGCTTTCGGACGAGCTTTGCGAGTCGACGGGCCAACCAGATAAAGACGTCAACGTACCTAAAAAACTTGAGGAAAGACAGGAAAAGAAAGGGGAGAAGACGGACCTATATCCGGAAGGAATTTGGAATGTCGAGACATTGTCACCAGAGTGTGAGGCTGCGACTTGGAACCATGGCCTGTCCAATGATGTTGTAGAATGCTCGTCACTCCCACGGGGGAACAATGAGAAGACGGAAGACTTGAACGACCGAGGTCAACAATCGGTATATAAAGTTGATACTGTTGCACGATTGCATAATTTGAAGGTTGGTACGGATTGGGTCTCCTGTGGATTGGCACGTAATCTGATATACTTTTGATGAAAGGGAATGAAAGAATCTACAGCGTGCACAATTGTGGAGTCACCAGGAGGGTTCTGCGTAGCAGTTGAGAAGCAGATACATTTATTTGACTCGAAATGCTCTACACATAACACCACCATCACGTTCGGTTTGTCTCATCTAGTCGTCAGTGTCATTGGATCCCTTACTGATCCTCCACACTTAGACTGCCCTCCGGAGCTCGTCGCATACAATCGCGATTCAAAGTTTCTGGTTGTAGGCGATAGCTTCGGTACAATACATTTTGTGCATGTGGAGTCCGAAAGCGTTGTCTTCTCTCGAGAATTGTTAACAGGAGCCTTGGAGGAGGATGGCCGCCCCATGTTCTTGTGGCTTGGGTTTTTGGGGCGAGCAAGGTCGGTTATCAACTAACTAACATATCCCCTGAAATGTTCTGATGGTGATAACTGACCATTGCTTTGTGATCTGGCAGTGAGGAGACAGAAGAGCTCTTGGTTATTCTCCGCAATATGACCATGTGCCGATTTACAAACATGAGTATGTCAAAGCTTGGCGAAGCAATGGCTTCCGGGAACGCAAAATGGGCTGCTGAGGTTGGATTGCTTTTCTCTTCTGTGCCTGTCTATTCAATGTTAACCTTCTTTTGGCCGCTACGATGTAGCTGTATCAAATGATCATCATGGAAAAAGTTGACTTGATGCAGGAAGAAACGGACTTGAAATCTGTCCATGATGTAGCCTGGGCATCTCGACAAAATGGAAGCCATCGTATTGTAGTTGCCGGGAAAGGTATCGTGGCGCCCCTGTCGGTGTTATCCAGCCTCTCTGCGATCTAACACATATACTATAGGTCGCCAGCCATTGACGGTGTGGCATCGCTCCAAACTCACCCAGAAGACAATGAAGGTGGACGCGGTGGAACGCCTGCTGAAGGGCTGTGGGCTTTTAAAGGCACAAGTGGATCCTACTGGCAGACTTTTACTGCTTCTCGACGACAGTGGCCGTCTCTCTATTTGGGACTTTGAGCAGTAGGCTACATGCTTCAAATATGGATGCTTTCTGACGTCATGCTAAGTGTTTCTTCCTCTTTCTCTGTTTCTAGTCTTTTCATGATTCACCATTACAACGATACCAAAATTATTGATTTTATGATCATGCGGACACCCTCCCAGTGCCAAGGCCAACTAAACATCGTTACTCTTACGGAACTACCTGACGTTGCGGAATCACGATTCATCCAAGTCATCCACATGCCAAGCTTCACCGTCACGCATCATGTACGCGTTTCTCGAAACACATGGCTTGTCAAGATTCAACAAGAAGACGGGCAACAGACAGCGCACGCTTTTGAGGATGGGCGGGTGCATTTCGTTGAAGGAATTGAAAACCAGCAAACGCATAGGTATCGCTATTCAGACACTGACATCGTGCATTGAATATTCGTCATAAACCCTTCATCAATTCGTATTAGAATCAGTGAACTCTATATCCGTGCCTTAGCGCAAACCGTACCACTTTACCGGTTTGAGCAGTTGCTCCAAAGCCAACGATTTGCAGAAGCTGAAAGGTTTGCAGAAAGCTTCGAGCTGGATGTCCAGGTATATCTGCAGTCGATCACGCTCCATGCGATCGATCACTCAACTATCCACTTGTTAGTTGGTCCTCAAGACAAAGCTGCGACACATGATTGCAAGTGTTGAATTGCGGACCTTATCTGACGAGGACAAACTGAACCATTTCGTTGACGGGCTGATTGCTGATTTGAAACTGGTTGAGGTGAGCTATCTATTTAGGAGCGAAATTTAGTAAGATGCCGTGCTCATTCATAAACTAGGATGAGTCATTCTGCATAGAGTTCTGTCTTGAAGCGATGCTACCAAGCTTCCGAGCCACATATCGTCTGCTAGCGTTTGCTCGCAGCTTGGCGCAAGACAGTGCGAGGCGATCACATGCGGGCAACCTGTCATCGTCAATGTTCAATGTGCATCAGGCTATTCGACGTATTGGAACATACCAACTGATTTCCTTCGAGAAGTTGAATAGGCGTGGTGGGTCAGCTAGCCATAATAAAAATACAGCGGCAGTTGATGGGGATGGATTCGATTGCCGAGAATGGCATGCATTTAGAATTGCAGACCTTGTGGCAGAGATCCGCGACCTGCTGAGATCTGAAGATGTGAGGTTAGCAATTGTCATCTGGAAGCGACATTACCTGGGTGAGTCCGAAATCTCATATCTGTTGATTTTCCATCCGGGCTTATTGTGAGCGAATCTTTCTGGTGTATATTGAAATAGATGGGAACATTTTACCCTCTATTCACCAAATTCTTGCTGATGTTCCTGAGCACGCCGCCTTGAATGACTTCGTACCGTGGCTGAGAAACGAGGTATTGCCGATTGTTCAGCAGGGGAGTGATCGGTAGGTTGGCCAATTGCAAGATATTGATTACCTGTGATCATGCTCATCGCTTGATTTATTAGTGCGAAGCTGGCAATTTGGATTGAGCAACGAGCCCGCTTCGTGGAAGCGAGGGAGAAAAAACCCCACGGAGCATTGGAAGTCATTCGCTTGCTGGATACGGTTGCGCTGCCAGGCATGGCCGAGCAGGGAGGCGATGACCGAGTCTCATCCGCGCGCGATCACCAACTCTTCACACCCGCCACACCGGCGCACTACGTTGAAAACACCATCCTGTTTGGCCGAACTAGTACATCCACTTTCGGATTCGAAAGCAGTAGTGGCAAAGTCTGGGCGAATGGATTAAAGAAGCAATTAGAAGACCTAGTTTACCTGTGGGACAAGCACGACTTCTGTCTCACGTTAAACGACTACAGTCAGTTTAGTCTGAATGAGATCGCCAAGGATCTGCTGGACCGTGTTGCTGCCCCAGAGCTGCTCGGTGATGCCATTGAAAAGCATTTCAGGCCGTATGTTGAGCGCAATGCTCTATCTTTTGACGAACTTTTGGCCGAATATTGCGTCGATCTCATGGATGGCTCTATGACCACCGGTGGTACAAATACCTTAGCCGACAGTTCTTGGCAGGCAAGAGTCCTGGCCATTTTAAGCTGTATGGTGGACGCTGACATACGAGCGGATGTTGTGCTGGAGTTAATGAAACGAACACCGGTACCGTGGGGTTCAGATGTGGGGAGAGTCTTCATTGAGGTACGGTAAGAAGTGACTCCACGTTGTGCGACCGATGAAATGATGCATTTATATATTCAACAGGCGTTGCAATGGTCTACAACACGCAAGAAGGATGAGCTTCGCGAACAGTATCGGCTATTGAAACTAAAGAGAATGCTGATCGCGTATGGTATTACAACATTCAACATCTCAGATAAGACTTTAGCTAGAGGTCTGCCGGCTTGTATTCTTCCACACATAAGCGGATCAGCTAAGATTGTCTCTGAGTTCAGGTCTACTTCCAAGGATTTTAGGTCGTATTGATTTGGTTAATGCCATGCGTGATGCCCTTCAGGTGCGTGACTTGATGTCTCTTTGCGTCAAACAGGAGTGCTGAGACCCACGAAGGTCGTTAGTGCATATCATCATCTCAACAAAATGGAGGCATACCGCATTCGATTGATGGCGCTATTTGAAGCTGGAAAAGTCTCCCGCGCTTTACGGCTGTTAGAATCGGGAGTGGAAGAGGACGCTGCGGATGAGATGCAACCGGATGCTGACGGGTTAGGACTTGAAACTGACCAACAGCTTGACCTCATCGAGAAGATTGGTGTTGGAAAAGAGGTTGCTCTTTGTCTGATCTATATCTTGGATGACGCGGTGAAGGCTAGGAATGATGATGAGGCTGACATGAATGCACTGGCAACATATTCACGTACTATTGACTCACTAGTCGAGTTAGCCCGTGTCCTTCATAAAATCAGGGACGACCTTAGCAACTCTCCAAATACCGAACATATTGGCCAGTCAGGATCGGTGCTTGCTCCGTCAAATAATCCGTCTACTTTTACGAAGAGCGTTACCCCCTTTGCAGCAGCCCTAGACCTGGAGCTTGGCGGGTTCGATGACGCATTGGCAATTTTGCGAAATATGGCCGCGCTTTTTAAGGAGTTTGGGGTGACCATGACCATGGGACAATTTGCCAATGAAAGGGAGAGACGGAAGGTATTAGCGGGTTTTGCCAGAAAGGTATTCAAATACATTGGAAACGCGGATGCCAGTCCCGACGACAGGAAATCAGCTCAGACGACAGAGAAAATGAAGGGAAAACAAACGGAAAGTCGACGAGGAAATGGAACCAGCGCTCGGCAGGAAGAGACGGATCAGTCGCATACAACGCTATATAGGCTGGCCCACGTTCTGGGATTTGAAAGATCTCGATTACGAGGGATCTTGGCGGAAGAGGCTGCTCGTAACGGCGATTTCCGAAGCGCCCTCGTCCTATGCAAAGAGCTATATGATAAATTTCCGGACGGGGAGACTGCGCGTACTCTTCAACGCGTAGCACACCTTTTGACGAGGTATGGTGCCGAGCACAAAGAAGCTTTCCGCGATGTGAAGGAATTCGGAATGCATTCTCGCCTCACGAGTAGAATTCTGCAGCTGAGTGGTCAAGCGTTCTGCGTGTGTGATGCAGATGCAATTCAGAGCTGCCTGGATGATTTCAAAAATTATGAGTTGCAGCACAGAGTTTTCACTCAGTGCGATGCGGGTGATTATGGTGCCTTAGTAGCCAGCAACGTTGAGCCTTTTGATTCCAATGTGTTTGATGAAAGTCATCATCTTGGACAGTCATCCAATTCACCCAGTTCCAGTTCAAACTCGGCGAGCTCGATCTCGTCGCCGAAACCAGCTCCAACTGCCGAGATGGAAATTGCGAACATTGGTGACAAATTTGCGGCTTCTGTGTTCGAAGGAAATTTTAGGGAAAGTAGCCTTGTCTTGTCAACTGAGTCTGCAATGGGTCTCGTCTCTAGCTTCGTTCTGGATGCGTCCGCGTTCAACGAGAATGGTGTGATTCTTGGGTTCCAGGTGGATGACTCCGCCAAAGGCAAGGGGGAATCGGAACGTGGCCATCCTGCGCATTCTGGGAGGCTTTTGGCAGAGTTCCTGGTCAACAACAAAAGTTGGCAGACCGTACTTTGGGTTTTGCAACGAGCTAAAGAGGCTGTACTGAGGGTTGGTCAAATGCGGGAAAGTTCAGCATGGGACACTGTTATTGCATTCTATTGCGAAACCTTACGGCGGCTATCCGTGGCGGTTAGTGCTTGCTTGGCGTCAACGTCTTGCAAAAATACTCATGACGAATATGCGTTATCGTAGGTTTTGAGCTCTAGGATGATCGATCAAAAACTGGCGGTAGGATGTTTAGTGTCGCTACCATTGGAACAGGCGTTCGAGGCGTACAAGGTAAAGCTTTTGCGTACCGTACTTACACTCCGTGCGATCCTTTGCTGACAGGGGTCATCAGGCTGGAATGGCCACAGCCGGGCAGGAATATGCGCGTGTCTTGCATATTGCTGGCATCGGCATCGCACTTTCGTCTGCGTGGAAGCAACGGACCTTTAGAATTAACTGCGAGGATCTAGCTGCGAATGCCAAATGGTGGCATCAACTTCGCTTACTGGGTAGGTTGAGGAATTTCCCTGCGTGTTGTATTAAGAAGGTAATATCTCGATTTCCTTAAACAGGTATCCCTTTCGATAACGAAACATTTCGGTACCGAGTTGAAACTGGAGGGCACCAAAGGCGGATTGTGCCACTACTTTTGGCGCGAACTGGATATGACATTCTGACTACATTAGAGTTTGCAAGGAGTTACGACATTGAGGGTACAACTGCACAGAGGGTGATAGTGCCCGGTCACATCTCATTTCTTTTCGCCTGTTTGTAGATGATTTCGTTATCGTGGAATATGTGAAGGGCCTGTTGCTCGCTAACGGTGATGAGAAGGACTATCAATCCCGAGTGGCTGGAATTTTGGACGACGTTGTCAACAAAGAAAGGCTACTGAATACTTTAATGAAGGAGTGTTTGCCTCGGTTTTCACCATATGATTACGAACGTAAGCGTTGGATGCTCATGCCAGAGAATCTGGATAGTACTAAATGTAACAACGTATGGCAGGCATTCTGTTTGTAGCCACCCAGATATTGCGCCTCGACCCAGATCACCATTTTGGTCAGCGCTGTAAGGAGGTGGTGGGTGTCCTTGCTGACTACGGAAGGGCGAAACCTCCCTCGCTGGAAGAGCTAATAGAAGCCAAAAGAAGTAAGCATTAAGTTGCATGCACGCGGCAAATGTGCATTTTCCCTAACGCTCATTGTGGCGGAAGTTGTCAGTGGAGGAAGTATCGTATCAGAGCAGGCAACAATTCAGGATCTGAAAAAGGTAGAGGAGGTGGCTCATCTTTTTATGATGATCGCGGACTCAAGGTCTCTGTCGTCATACTAGATGTTTCCGAAATGCATGCAACGACTTCCTTACCACGCCCTTAGCGTAAATCCGTGGTTGGTCCTCGGTCCAGAGTTGACGGAGGAGTCTATCCCTCGACTACGGCCGTTGCGGAAGGTCCTCAACCTTAACCTCGACAAGTTTTATGTTATTGCCGTGGAGAATATGTTTCAGCTGGTTTGTAGCTTGAGAAATGGTGCGACTCAAAACTCTTTTCTGATGATTCCGGCAATGAGCAGACAGCCAAGGAAGGCGAGGATGGAGTGTCGGTCGCAGATGTACAACCGCCAAGCGGGCCAACTGGAGCGAAGTTGCATTTTTCAGACATCAAACGATTGATATCAAGCATTTCTGATGACGTAGCAGCGATTGAGACCCTGTTGGAAGTGGCTAAACGATTCCCGCTTGGTCCAGATCGTATCCAGGCCTACCGCATGGCGGTGGCCCGAGCAGAGAGGTCCGAACCTCCAGACGCTGTCCAGGTGAGCACAATGTGAGGCAGCTCTATTTCTTTGCAGCAGTCACTGATTAGCCCTTGTCCATGACGAAAGAATAACGCTGAACAGCCAACAGCAACTGGCAGTCCGCCAAAACGGTCAACTGAGATCAAAAGAATGCTCATCGTTTGCGAGACAGAGCATCAATTGAAATGTCTGGGGATGACAGAAATGCAAAGTTTCATATCGGTACAAGATTCCATGACAAGCCTGATGCACAACCTGTATCTGAGCAGGAGTGAGGCTGCTTTAGATTCAAAGAGTACGTATAGCATACTGGGCATCTTACATTCTGACTCCATCTAAGGAGGCTGCTTTGATTAGACGATCTGGACCTTCATGGACTTGTAAACGATATTGCCAAGCGAACCGGAGTGGATCCCGACGAGTTTAGAAATTGGCTGATTAAGGTAACAAAACCCCAACAACCTCGGGCGTCATGCCGGGAGCTACCGCCTTGAAACTCACTTCAGCATTTATTCTTTGGCGATGTAGAAATGGATGACAGCAGATGTTTCTATTAGTGACGAAGAACGTGAAATGTACCTGCCTTCCATGCGTGTGCAGGTAATGTGGCCTTGGAGATTAGGCGTCATTCAGCCACCTAATTGCTTCTTTAATCCGGCTAAATATCCGTTGCTCTACATATTCAGATCAATAACTTATTGAACTCACGAGAGGAAATAGCCATCCAAATGCGACTATTATACCTTTTGCAATCCCTGCCGCTTCAAGCGGGTATCCAGTATTTGTTGAACTTCGTGAGCCATGTGAGATAAATTCAACCAACTTCGGTAGTCGACACAAAATCGATGTTTACTGATGTTCCATTCGCAACCAGCCGACATCAAAGATTCAAACATTGAACCGCGTGCGAGCATTGAGTGTATTGTTCCAATTAGCGAGCCCGAAAGAACTGGCGAATTACAATTACCAAAACATCAAGTAGGTGACTGCGTGTAGTTGTACGGAAAGATCGATGCTTGCTGAATCGTTGCTCTTAAGAAATTACATGCAGATGCTTCTTTACCTGGCAGATTTTGAGGAACTGAGAATCATGCAGTCCTTGCGTGAATTTGAGAAATGTGATAAGGAAGCGTTTGTCCGGTCCCTCTGGGTAAATCATAAGAATGAGTTGAAGGTGAAATCCAAGTTGGCATTTTTGGTTCGCTCACGTATATGGTGGTAACCTGGATGCAATTTGTAGGTGGTACAACTGATCTGCAACATATGCTTGGATTACAGGGTGTACGATTTGACGCTTTGGGAGAGCGCCCTAAATCGATTGTTGGACAAAAAAGTCGTAAGTAGTAACGATTATTAACGCAATTGAGGAGTGTGGCCTAACTATTTTTTTGCTAGTATCGCTATCTGTTGGGCGTTCTCGAGCATCTTACTTCGGTACCGGAGCTATCACAAATAACATCATTGCCGAGAGTTTGGAACGGTGTGCTCACAGGCTGTCTTCAGATGCTGTCGGAAAATAGCGGTAAGAAATGACCTTGCACCAACGCAGATTTAGCATAAGATCACTTTGTACTCACGCAGATCCGGGCATCAGAAGCAACTTCGGCAATGCACGACCGCATGTTAACCTTAGTGCAAAAGTGTCCTTTTCTATTTGAGATGAATGTCGATGCGTTCGTCGATCATTTCACCAACATGGCCATGAAAACACCAGTTACATTTGAGGACCTTTTGAATGCCCTTCGTGGCATGGCCGCTTTGCCTCCTACTCCACGTTTGTCGGATGCCATTAAGGTAGTATACGTACGCCGTTTATGCTGATGCTGAAATGCTGATAATTAGGGTTGCGAAAAACAGAGATCGGTTTCCCGGCTAGATTCCTCTGAGCTTATTCAAGCACTGGATGTTATATTTAATAAAGCAGATAAAAATCATTCTCAACACGGCTCAGCCATAAGCTTTGGAGCAACGGACACGTGGATAGGCAAGGTAGTAATCTATCCGATTACATTGCGTGCTGGCAAACGGAACTGTTTTCATGATGTCGACATCTAGACGTGGGTTATGAGAGCAATATTCGACCGAGTAGACGAACTCCGAGCATATGAGCTTCTGCTAACAACGAAGCATCTCAACGATTTTGTCCAATATCTTGTGGACTGTGATCAAATTGAGCATTTAGTGATAGCATCACTCAAAGCTCAAAGGTGCGTCATTATGATTAGAGGGATTCATGTGCTAGGCTGAGCGAGGATTTTGTTATCATTAGAACCACATCTGCGTACGACGTGGTGCAGTTGTACTTTGCTCGGCATCCGAACCGATTGCCACCGCTACCGGAGGAGCGACGCGAACATCAAAACATAGAGTGTGATGACCTACCTGTTCGTGACTACACCAAGCCTGCTTTGTTGCAGGTACTGTTTTGCCTGCGTTTTGTTGTACATATTGCGATGTCCATACCTATATCTTTGATGACAAGGTGTACCTTCAAACACACGCATTTGACGAAGAAGAAGAATATGTTATCAAGCGAATTATGGAAAGGGTAGAGGCGGACAGGGTTGCTTCGACACCAGGAACATCAAGAACATGAGAAGACTAAACGAATCGGCAATCGGCATTCGATGTGATATAATGACTCGTAACGAGAAAAAATCGAACCTTGAGAGAGTGAACGCAGTACCGTACATGACATTTCAGATTTTAAACACCTCAACCGTTTGCTCAAACGGATTGATAATGGTGGAAACATCTGACGGTACCGGTCAAATGTGATTGATATATAGATACATTACAGCATTAATACCAAAAGTCTAGCCAGTAGAAACAATCGCAAAACGCAATATTTACACCTAAATACCCATTTCCAAGTGCATCGAGTAAACCCATTCCCGGAAGAGCGTCATGCTCACTTAAATTTCCGAGATGCAATATTATGCTACACGAATATCATGTGCTAAGAAGCGAATAGATCAGCCGCCCGCTGTGGATCAATTCTGCATATTGATGATGTCGACAATTGCGTCGATGAGCTCTTCTCCAGATATATCAAGAGTTGGATCCTGTATCTTCCTCGCCAAGAGCTCGTCCATAGCTGCGCGACATCCTTCGATGACCCCCGCAGTAGGAGGATCCGCACGGAATGCAATCCAACCGTCACCCATATTTAGCCGCTCTACGAACGAATAATTACCAACGTGTTAGTTTCGTAATGAATCAGAAAGACATCTTGCAAAATTCACTTACTTTGCCGTTTATCCTGAGACGCAGGCAGCGTCGTAAATAGGTATCAGTTTCACTGAGCTGTCACAAGGCATGTTCTCTACCCTACTCACCCATGTCAGATTGCCGCCGAAGAATGCGAGAGCATATGGTGTAACTACGCTCGAGTCGCGAATGTAGACCTTGCTTGTCTTCACTTTCTCATGGTACACGAGAAACCGTGTGGGAAACATCTTCCGATAATTCTATACCAGTTTTTCATAACGCGAATATTAGAATAGCCGCCAATGTGTGCTGCATGCTGGTCCACATACGACTGAGGAGGGATGTATAAACACTTCTTCTCCGCCGCGAACTTTCAATTGAGGTTCACCCGCAGGCTTGGAACTGTTTGCCGTTTGAATTACTTTGAGGAAACCAGGGGGTGTTATTGAAAGTAACAATACACGCGCAGCATACGCAGAGTACCATTGGGATAGAGCGCGGCAATCAGAACCGCCTTTACAAGTCTTAGATCGTCACCTCGTGCGTTCGCTTCTGGCCGGATACTTTCAACGACACCATCTGAGATGTTACCGCCTGCGCGTTCCATAGCTCGAACTTGCAATGGCAGTGAAGAATCAAGGAAGCCGATATCTGAAAGCAGTTCGGCCAGCTGCCGTTTGACACTCGCAATCATCCCTACAGGTGTGACACCGAGATAAGGTGGGGTTGTCGTCAAATGCCGGAATGGAGAATGTGGTTACCAAGAACTTTCCACGACAAGAAATTAGACCTTAAGAATGTCCTTTCAGCTTCTTGCCCCAACGAGCGGACTTTTTGCCATTGCCGATATGCATTTAGAATGGTGAGTTGATCTGACATCCCGCTCGCGAACTCCTAGATTTTCTTGACTCGTTTAGTAACGACAGCAACTGTATGTAGAAGAATAACTTACCGCTTTTTTCCTATCAGCCATTTCTCGCTTTTCAAAAGGCGCAACAAATGGACTCTTCATGCTCATGGCTGCCGCAATAGTCAGTACCGGATCCACACAATGGAAAATGCTACCAAGTATAAGTAGCTTGCCGATCTATCGCGATACACAACTATTAATGTTGAAAAGATACGACTGCCATCTCGGGAGTGGACCTTACCCGCACATCTACAGGTAATCGTCCGAGGTGAAATCCGAGCGGCGTTAATGTTTCTTCTCTCGTTAGCGCCTGAGACGCACCCGGATTGATGATAAGTGCCAGATGTGGTCGCAGCGACGAGTGAGTAAAATCTTACTTGTAATGTTCGTAGGGTGAGCACTGCATTTTGCACGGCCTCGTGAGACGGAGGCTCAATGACTTTGGCGAGGATCTATAGGTCCATTGAATGGATAGCAGACAATGCAACGGCGACAACGGTTTAAGCCACTACCTGCGCAATTCTTCCTTGAAGGAATGGCAGCACTTTAATTCTCAAGCATAGCTGCTCGAGAGGGGTTCTCCGCATTTCCGGCACTTGCTGGGCAGCGAGCGTATTCTCAAACATATGTGAAGTAAACAGGTGGACGCAAGTGCCTTCTGTTACACGCCCCGCTCGTCCACGACGTTGCAAAGCATTTGCCCGAGATACCCAACTACAGAATAATGTTAGAGTTGGTATGCCCGCGTCCGAATACCGGTTCCCTACCATTCTTCAAGACTGGCCATTCCTTTCGTGGGATCGAAGCGGGTCTCTTTCATTTTTCCGGAATCGATCACGTAGACCTACAGTGGTCAATGAGCACAATGTGAGGTCACACAGATCTCTCCTTAGGACTTGCCACATCGTCTACTGTTATGCTTGTTTCGGCGACATCTGTACGTTTCTTATTAGCCCAGCTGTAACTTGGCGCAGCTGCCACATTAGCTTACTTGTGGCAATTATAACTTTGACATATCCATCTTCGGGCCGCTTGAAGACATTCAATTGTTGGGCAGACGGTAGGTCCCCATGCAGGGGTATGAGGTATTTACCATTCGATGTCGCGGCGCGAATCTGAGGATTATGCCGCAGAAGTTCGTGGAGAGTGGCGATTTCGGCATAGCCAGGCAAGAAAATCAGAATGCCACGGTTGGGCGCAAGTACATTCTCATTGAACAGGGGGCGATCGAGCGTGTTTTCTGACCGTCGCCCGCCTCGGAGGGTTCCGTGTCCTCTTTTACCTCTTGATACACCCCGCCCTGAAAAGCTTGTGTTTGCGCCCGGGGGCTGCCGCTTCGAGGAGCCAGGTAATAGCATTTCAGACATCCACTCTACAAGGAGGGCGATTAAGGGGTATTGAATCCTCTCCACGTTCACCAATTTCAAAGCTTCGAGGGTCTTGTCGGAAATATGAGGATATCTCTTTTTCAATGCAGAAAATTGGAGCTCCTCATCGGGCTTTTCATCGTCATTTCCTGTAGTTGTGGGCCGTACTCTCATATGCCCGCGGCGGTAGTCGCTACCTTCTGGCTGATATCCAGTTTTCGCGAGCGCATCCTCAAGATACAGAACTTGAACATGGAATCTTAAAGAGGATTAGCACTCAGTTTAACACTATCACGGAAACCCCTAGCTTACGTCCTGCCGGGTACATGAATACGAGGAGCTTGACCGAAATATGCTTGGAAGAGCTCAGCGTTGAGAGTGGCCGACATAAGGACCAGTTTTAAGCGTGGCTGGGTAAGCAGGAGATCGCGGAGGACCATCAGTAGAAAGTCAGATTCAATCGATCGTTCTGAACGTGAAGACATTATAAGTCCACTTATTGCGATCTTGGGAGATCTAGCTGCCAACTTACCATGAACTTCGTCGACAATGATGTGTGTTAAATCATCGATACCACCTTCATGATCTCATTTATGCAAAAAAATGTGTGAGGTATTTATCGCAAACAATCTTTTGTTGGCTACATCGAACCCTCACCATCGGTCAACGTTTCGGCTCCGAACCCCGATACTGATCGGGCACCGGCCCCTTCCAAACGACGGAGTAAAATCCCAGTTGTCGCAAAGAGAATCCTGGTTGCATCACTCATCCGGTTCTCTAACCGAATTTGGTATCCGACCGTCTTCCCCAAGCTTTCATCACGCTCCGCAGCAACACGCTCCGCCACACCAATAGCACTGATGCGCCGCGGTTGGGTGACCAGGATTTTACATTGAGCCCCCCGTTTTTGGCAGATCAAAGCGTCCAACAGAAATTGCGGTACTTGCGTGGTTTTACCGCACTGAGGGAAGGTACACCCTAAGTTTAAGTAGCGGGACAAATGAGGAATGGGCACCTACGCCGGTTTCTCCCTCTACAACGACCACCGGATTCTCTTCCACCGCGTTGACAATATCTTGCTGCCATTTCCACACAGGCAGAGTCTCACGTTCGCTTCGCATTTTTTTATACTGGGGCCTCTGCTGTTGCGCAATGAACTCTTTGTGAAGCTTTTCATTCTCCAACGAAATCTCTGCGGCAGAAAGTGGCGGCTTGCGAAGCTTTCCTGGTATCACCCGCCCTTTCGGCATAGAGCTTGAATCCATTGGTTTCTGAACAACTGAGGGATTGATCCGCATTTGCTGCAGAGGAGCTATTAGCTCTGACTGATCTGGTGCCTTCGGCGGTCCGCTACGGTTTGGAGTTGTCATGTCTCGAGCAGCAGAACGAGTAGAAAGGATGGGCGCATCTTTCGAATTTTGCGGTCTCGGTTCGACAGTTATGCACCTTTCGACTAGTGCCTGTACACGACCCACTCGACCATCTGTGAGCTGAACCTTTATCCCCCGGGGATGATCACCGCGCGTCAACACTTTTGAAAGAAACACATCTCTAAACGTTAGACCAACGAACCCTAAAAAGGGTCTAGCGGTACAATCCCGTACCTTTGCCAACAATGCCGGTAACAAGATTCGCAGTTCCTTGATCCTCCTTCAAACATATTGCCACTTCTTGGGCACGTCTAATCATGTCCATAGTCGGCACACCGCCTCTAGGACCTTTATGCAACCGAATCTTGGGACCCTGAGTAATTTTCTCCTTCTCCTTTTCTCTGTGCCCCTTAATCACGAGAACACGTTTTTGCTCACTTCTTCCAGTAGCATCCCAGCCTGGTGCTACGATATTGCGTATGCGTACAGATGGCGCTATCAGTGACTCCTGTGCCTCGTTCGTCTGAAGGGCGGATGCCAACATATCCATCACTGTTTCACCCAGATGGTCCCTGGCTCTCATTTGCAGCGAAATCGCAAGCGACAGGAGTCCTGCTTGGATTCCCTCCGGTTTATTGCTACAGTCTAGCACAACAACCGGGGCTTGAAAGGGATACATTGTATTTTTGGGATGATGCAACTGCAGCGCAAGATGGAGCGCCGATTGGGTGAGCCCTGGAACCTCTACCTCTATTCCGGTAATCTGCCACACGAGGGTACCATCTCGTCTGGTATAACGAGTGAAGCTTTTCCCATACACGCTTTCTAATTCTTTGCATTCCTGCTCCCGCAGGGCGTTTGCTTCATCCGCGAACTCGGGGTCAGTGGCCACGCAGTCACTGGATAGCACGAACTCCGAATCGACAACCTGCGAATATAGGTATGACAAAGCAGCGAGTTGATCATTGTTACAGCGTTGTAGCGCAACGACTGCGTGTCGAGTTGTAAATCCAAGTGACTCCAGCCATGCTCGACTAATGCTGTCGGCGTGCACAGATGTATCGGAAAAAGGCAGTTCCATGGAGTCGTGTTCTCGCCCGCCAACTGACGGTGGAGGCCTTGTCAATTTGGTGGGGGCATTGATTATCATACGATGCTGCGTCGCTGTGCCTTCGAACCCACTACCTACGTCTTCAGTGGTGGTTTCGCCTGTGGAGCTTTCATCATCACTGTAATCAAATCCTTCATCGACGTCGTCTTCACTATCATTTGTCTCAGCATCTTCCCCATCCTCTAAAGAAGATTGTTCACTACTCCCATCGCTTTGAAAATCCTCCTCGTCCGACTCTCCGTTGTACTTGTTCTCGTCGTGGTAGAAACGCGGACCATTGATATCCCTTATCAACTCTTCCATTCCAGGGTCGATATCCTGCTCATCATCTTCCTCGTAATCATCGTCATCGCCTTCCTCCACTTGTCTTAGGACTTTCTGTGCCTCATGATAATTTGATAGGATAGTGGCCAACCTTTTAAATACGGGGCGGGTCAAATGGAGTCGTGGCAACTCCTCCTTTTTGGACTTCGTTGCTTGCTGCCATTTTCGAGCCATTTGACGTTTCTCTTTTTCTTTCAAGATTGCACTTTGCTTCTTCCCTATTTCTACTACCTCCCCAGTGACGGGATTCCAAACCAGCTCGACACCTCGAAAACCACCTCCCCGACGCTCGACATCTTTGCCACCTCTCCGGTCTCCAGTCTTACGATCCTTATTGCCTCTCTTTCCATTAGCATTTCTCTTCCCTTTCTTCTGCCTGTTCGCTCGAGCCGCGCTCCCTCCGGCCATTTATTCCAATTTCTTAACGACGTTGGCCAAGATTGCACATTGCATACTCAACATAAGCTTGTTGGCATGGCAACAGCGTGCAATTTACCGTCATGACTCGCCAACTTCAATAGTGTGGAGGTGATTGAAAATGGCACTAGAACTCATTATTATCCGGATTACTCCGGTTAGTCATATCGCATAATCAGCACCCCCTCTATCGCTCAACACGGTGTGGCATGTATTGTAATGTTTTTTTTTTTTAAACTGCGGTGAGGCGCATGCAGAAGGTCTATAAAAGGGGGGCCTTTGCTGTCTCTTCCCTCCTTCCTCTTTACCCATCCTCGACTCGCAAGCATCTGCCCAACACATCTCAGTCCATCATGAGAATGCCACTCTGGTGTCGAGGACCTCGCCCTCCCGACTACAACAACAACATAACCCCTTGCAAACACTATTACTACTATGCTGCAACGATTGCAGGTATTTCTTGCTGATTTTCCCACGCCCGTATTCCCAGTCTAATTCTGGTTTAATTAGTATCTGAACATCCTCCAACTAAAGAATTTCGGAATCAAGGGCTTAGTAGGATTTCTCTCGTGTGGTGGGCTTAGTTACCCGGTTAGAACAACCGTAATGTATTGCATGTGTAATTGGGCCCAGTAGTAGTTGGTTGGTTGTAAGGGCTAGCTAGTTGCTTTTCCGAACCGGTTGTCGCCGGTTTATTCCCTGGTGTAGTAGCTAGTGCCATTTTCTGTCACCTAATACACTATCCAGTAAGTTGTGCCGCCCAGATGTACGAGTAAACTTCTTTAAATTCCAAGAATTAATGTTGCAAACATAGCAAGGACAAAAAGGAAAAACAACTGAAACTATTCTGGTAATTTTGCCCACACTTTGGAAAGTCATCGCAATCTACAAATCTACATAACCCTGGCCGCTGAGACTTTCTGCTGTCAGGCCCTGGATGAAACAGGTAAATGATGTTACGAAGGAAGTTTACACTCGCTGCTCTTCTTTACGCAGCCGTGTGCTTCCTGCGGCGAGGGTAGCAACTGCTGAATTCAGACCATCAGCGATCAAAAGCGTGAGCATTGCGTGTGGTGCAATACGGATATAGTACACAGGGAAACTCTTTAACAGCGCGCAAGCGTTAATAGTGACAAGATCAAAAAGATTAGGTGCAAAGATACTCACCCTATAGAACGCCAAAGGACCTTCGTTCCTGATTACTTTGAGCGCGCAATCAATGGTACCCTTGTAAGGCATATTCCCCTGGACATCGGGACGTTGCTTTTGTAATCTTGTCTTGATGAAATCAAAGGGAAGCGACATGAAAGAAGCAAAGAATCCAGCTACAGCAGAGGAGCCAAACTTGGAGAGGGCACCGGGACCCAAGATGCGATCCAGCTCAGATTTCGTATGTGAGTAGCTGAGGAGCGAATTCAGCTATGAGACGGGCTCAAGCAAAATGTCATCAAATCGAACTGCTTACGTTGTAAGCATGCCAAGATTAAGTGCCATAGCTCTGGCGACTGTTGGTCCAGCTCCATTCCACAAAGAAAAAAAGCCTTCTTCTCGAACGATGCGTGTCAGGGCATTGCTAACCCCTGTGTAATTCGCACGTTTAGCAGCGGGAAGCATTCCATCCGCTTGCATCCTGACCAACGCCAAGTCTGGAGGGGTTCCAACAATAGCACCCAAGCCGCCAGCAGCAAGTCCAGCTAGAGCACGTTGTGAGAAAGTGACCTTATCATTTCCATTGTATTCCTTTGCTGAGGAAAGGAAGGTGTTGAAAAGACCCATTCGAGCAGTCGTGTATGTGGCTTGACGGAGCAAGCCGGCCGAGAGCCCACGGTAGAGGGAGGTAAACTTTTCGTTCCGAATGATATCGGCCGCCAAACGGAATGGGTTTGGATGAATATTCTATCCCAGCGGTCAATGGTAAGCACCAAATCAATATGGCAAACCTACGCCCGATGGACACGTCCGTAAACCAAACTTACCTTTGTGCCTTCCCCCGCCAGTTGCATGCGAACTTTGACCATATCAACAGGCTGGATAACAGCCGTAGCAATCATGCCTCCAAGTCCGCCAGTGACAAATGGCTGGGCGATCTGCCAGGAAGTTTTACGGGATGTGTCCATGTTTTCTTTATTTTGGTCTGTCATCGCAAATAGGAGTGTCAAAAGTTGTCCAGCATACGTTGAAAGGATGATCAGACTTTTGGGAAACACTGTACCTCAAAGCGCAGTCCTTTAAAATAGTCACAAATGTAACACTTTGTAGATGGAACTAATATCCGAGCAGGCGAATTATGGACAAATAAGTGCACGCTGACCCGTTCGTTATGCCGATGAGGCTCAAAGGAAAATTGCCAGCTTAAAAGACCTGCTACAGGTGTGAGTAAGACGAAAAGGCTTTGCGAAACTTGCTCTCAAGCCCTGCCAGGAAGGGGGATGCACCAGCCAAAGGGGGGGATGATCACTTGATTATGTCAGCTGGTCTTACCACATGAAACTGTCACTGTGGGGAAGTCTGGGAAGAATTGGAAATAAAGCTTCTCAATGCAATTGAGGTTCATCCGCAACGTCTTGGCAAGAATAAGCCTTGGTATTGGTTGGGACTTGTGCCAGATACGACATGCGTTCAAGGTGAACGATCGATCAACAGCACATATCGATCGCACACTGCATGGCGCATAACTTAACATGGTTTATTACATGGTTTGATATCGCTCACTTCTGGCCCACGCCGAAACATCCATTGAGGCAACAGCACGTTACTGCCGTTCATCCGGCTGCCACGAAACTTGCATGTGCCATCTGTCCTACTGTGGGCCGCGTTCTGAAAGTAAGCAGAAATGGCATAGTGCAAAAGAAGCGGAATGTGGATTGAAATTGGTTGTAATATAACATATAAAGGCCACAAGGGTAAAGAACGGGGAGCAGGCGAGTATGTAGCAAGCGACTGGTTTGCAACGTCAGCTTATATCATTCGTTTATAAGTGTGTGAGGATTAGATTACTAATCAAGTTCTGGGTCTGACATACCATGGTATGATGTCGAGGTCAATAACTGTTGGCTTGGCGAAGTGGCAAATAACCAATGTATTATCTGACGCTGAAAATGATGGCAAGGATAAAGAGCAGATTGGAACGCTATGCAGAAAGTTCGTCAACTTGTGAGTTGGTTAGATGAACGCTGCAATTTTCACTTCAAATATAATGAATTGCTTAACAAACAAAATGGGACATATCATTCACAATAAGTTAATGCATTAATGGCTCAAAGCAACACCACTGTCAATATCTCCTCAACTAACATCTAACAGTAAAGATACTGCTTGAAAGCAGAATGTAAAGCGTTCGTCTGAGCAGCTGGAAATGTGGCTTGGCGGCCAAGAGTGATCATAACACGTAAGCAGACCCCATTTCCCCACGCTGCAGATCTTCAGTTCGACGGCCCGAGATCAATTGGCATTCGCACAGGCAGATCAGCATTTGTTTACGACACTATCACAGCTCGTTCTCCTATCCACTATGGCCGTTGGACACCCAGTAGATAATGCTTTGCAAGCACTTGCGGAAATAAATTGGTCCCACCCGTCGTTGTGGATATGTGCTGGTTCCATCGTGTTTAACCCAACAATGTGGAATATTGTCGCTCGAAATGGTAGGGATGAGGTGGAGGCGAGCACCTTCTGTCCTCATTTTCTCCGGACCCGGCTAACTCTCTTTGACACTGCAGAGTATCGAAGACATACTATTACAAGGATGGTGGGCTCCCCATTGAGGGGTTGCTATCTCCTCGCATTCACTATTTTTACGCTCGGATTGCTGCGGGACTACCTGTAAGCCTGACTATTTCTCATGATTGCATGATGTGTGTCCCCGCTTATCATTCTTTTAACAGCTTCACCGTTGCTATGGATCACCAACCAAAGAGTCACATCCTTGAGCATTTTTACGTGAAGGTGTACGCAGCGATTAGCATCGTTATTGGAAATGTTCTTGTGTTGTCCAGCATGTATAAACTAGGAATCACGGGGACGTACTTGGGTGAGTATCATATCCTGCATTGTGTAGGCTGCCAGGAAAGCAAATTTATCCATATGAAAATCATCAGGGGATTACTTTGGTATTCTTATGGACCAGCGTGTTACTGGATTCCCGTTTAATGTCCTAGAAAATCCCATGTACTTTGGATCGACTCTGTGCTTCTTGGGGGGTGCTTTGTGGTAAGATAGATTGAGCACTGCAGCTAGTTGCAACGCACTCAACTCAACCTGTTGGAAAATCATAAAGGCGGGGTAGCCCGGCAGGTCTTGTGCTTACCGGAGTTGTCTATATTGTGTACATTGTTGCCGTCGAATGCTTTGAAGGGTACGTGTTTGTTTCTGCGGTGCGCATCGGAAGTCCCAGTAAACTCATATTCAATTTTGATACATAGACCGTTCACTGCATCGATCTACCAAAGAAGAGACAGGGAAAAGGCCGGCAAGAAAAAGCAATAGTCCAACGACTATTGGACGATCTGCGCCAGCACTCGTCGTGCGTGGTGTATAGATAGTTTCATGCAAGTATATTATTAGGTAGCAAGGTGACCTGGCATGTCGCCCCCCGGCTTATTAGGGATAGCATTCACAGTAGTGATAGAACAATAGCAATAATCAATGTCGCACACAATATACCAGTACGGGTTGAACCACTTGGACATGGTGAGAACCAACTCGGATAAAGCGCATAGTTTTACATGCAATACATCGTCCAGTCGTCTAACTGTGGTAACTAGCGCCCACCAGCATGATTCCAAAGGTTTTCGCTTGGAGGATGTTCAAATCCTAGTAAACCAGAATTAGACTGGTTAATAATTAGGGGAACATCACAGACATTCCTACGCAAGGGCGGTCTTTGTTTATCTTCATGTGAATCTGAATAATTGTGGTGTCTGATTAATGGGGATCACGTGCTGCTGGACGTTCGACTGTGACATCGCGCGCTTGCGTCAGCCCTTGTCACCCCAACACCCTGTACAGAGCTTGCCATCATCGCAACTGAATGCTGTTTCGTAGTGTGGAGTAAAAAGATGCCCCATCGACTCATATCCTTTGCAGACGTTGCTAAACATAACACGAAAGAAGACTGCTGGTGCATTATACACGGAAAAGTATATAATTTGGGCCCTTTTCTGAATGAACATCCAGGAGGCGTTGGTGTGAGTAAGCTGCAGGGCCGCCTGATTTGCATTTTGCTTTGTCTTATCACCTTCTTAACCATTATGTACTCTAATATTTTCAATTGGACAGCCCATCCTTAAACAAGCAGGAAAGGATGCTACAGAAGCGTTTGAACCAATCCATCCAAAGGATATCATTGATCGCTTTCTTCCCAAGGAACTCTACTTAGGTGATGTGGATCCTACGACCGTTCCTGAGAAGTCCGTTGAAGAAAGCCCTGACGCAAAAGCGCTGAATATGACGAAGAAACCAAGCTTGTCGGCAATACTGAATGCGTTCGATTTTGAATCAGTGGCTCGCCGAACAATGAAACCAGAGGGATGGGCATATTACTCGTCAGGGGCTGATGATGAATTGACACTGCAAGAAAATCATGCAGCGTTTCACAGAATATGGTTGCGGCCTCGAGTATTGGTCAACGTCCGTACAGTAGATACTTCCACCACGATGTTGGGGACGCGTTCGTCGTTGCCTTTGTATATATCTGCCACGGCCTTGGGAAAGCTTGGTCATCGTGAGGGCGAGGTGGTCTTGACACGAGCTGCGGGGACGAGGCAAATTGTGCAGATGATGCCGACTCTAGCGAGCTGTTCCTTGGATGAGATGGTGGCTGCGAGGGCGACTGGGCAAACCCAGTGGTTTCAGCTTTACGTTAATAGTGGTGAGCGGCCCTAATTACGGTATGAAGAAGGATAAACGATGGCTTACTCATACACTGTTACTAGATCGAAAAATAACTGAGCGTCTAGTCCGTCACGCAGAATCCAAGGGTGTGAAAGGTCTTTTCATAACTGTGGATGCACCTCAACTCGGTCGGCGCGAAAAAGACATGCGGACAAAATTTGTCGATGACGCGCCAGACGTTCAAAGGGACGGCAAGGAGTCCATAAATCGAAATGAGGGTGCTGCGCGGGCAATATCCTCTTTCATAGATCCCGGTTTGTGCTGGGATGATATCGAGTGGTTTAAGAGCATCACCAAAATGCCTATCGTGCTTAAAGGTATCCAAAGAGGCGAGGATGCAGTATTAGCAGCAAAAGCAGGTGTTGCAGGGATTGTTGTTTCGAACCACGGTGGACGGCAATTGGATACAGCACGGTCGGGAATCGAAATATTGGAGGAAGTAATGACGTATCTGAAAGAGGCTGGGCTAACAGATCGCCTTGAAGTGTATGTAGATGGGGGATTCCGCAGGGGAACGGATATATTCAAGGCGTTGGCGTTAGGTGCCAAAGGTGTCGGATTGGGTCGGCCTTTCCTGTATGCCATGTCTACATACGGTCAGCCGGGCGTGGAACGGTTGATTGACTTGCTGCGGGACGAGTTGGAAATGGTAATGAGACTAATGGGGACTCCTTCGATTAAAGATATTAGCAAGGATATGGCTGTGGTCAAGAATTTATCTAGTCATGTAGGACAAGCCCCGGCAGATTCACTATATAGACAGGTCTACGAGCGACAGAGCACGATTATCGGGTCGAAATTATAGATTGTATCAATCTCACCTGTGGCCTGCCGATCGCTGAAGTAAGCACATTGCATGATTTATGATTCCAAATACAAGCAGAACCATTGCACCTTAGTTTGATCATGACGAGTTGATTATCACAGACTTGACTTAGAGGGATAGCCTTTGCCTATCTTACAATAATATTTTAGAGAATCTATGATTGAATCTGACTACTGGTGTCTATCTAATTGCCTTGACCCTACATATTTGCCTCACCGAGACAAATAGACTTTATCAACTTCCCTTTCTGCCCTCCAGCAGCCATTGCTTTCAAATTGGGATGCAAATATTCCATTTCACGAATCTGCCCAATCACAATTTCACCGTCCATGCTTCCCACATGGGACAGGAAGAACGCAGCATTTATCACACTCGCAACACACCCAAAGACCCGAGGTCGGCTGAAAAATTCTGTTGCATCAAATGACGCTGCTGCTGCCCGTTTAATGTCCATCATCGCTGTCCGGACCCAGTTGCACGTGAACTTGATCATCAGTTTTCCGCAGGAGGCTGATATGGTTTGATTCGCGAATAAGCGCTTGAGGCAGGCGGACGCAAGGACCATGTCAACAAACTCCTCGCGGCGTGAGTTGTGCTCCTCCTGGGCGAAAAGCACGTCGGTCGATTGGGACTCGCCTGCTAATATGGTTTCTAGTGGTAAAGAATACATCTTAGACAATGGAGTCGAGGATGGATGTGGACCTGAAAATCAACATACTAATGTCATGATTTAAGAGCACTTTTTGAAACCTTTCCACAACTAGTTCAAATCCACCAGCCCACGGGTGAGTGGCGATATGGAACCCCAACAAAGTGCGACATCGCGAAGCTGTCACTGGTTGCTGGAAATTGAGGTTAGCACCGAAGCACTGTCGTAAGTTGACAAATTGTATGTGTACTATACCTTGAATTTCAGCATAGAAGATACGATCCGGGCAGTGCACTCTCGAATGTCAGGGTCATCATCTTGTAGTAATTGATCCAGCAGGAATAAAATATCAACGACATTGGACTCCTCCAGTCTATCGATCACTGGTATCACGTTTTGCAAACTTGTGACCACGGATGCCCGCACAGCTAATGGTTGTTCATCTCTGCACCAAAACTGTATTATCTTCACGTAAGAAGTCGATAGCGTCTGAGGGTCTTGCAGGGCCTCCGGCGCCACATGAACCTATTCGCCAATATCTGATCAGCCTCTACACATCGTACACTGCTCTCGTCCTCAGCTCACTTTATGAACTTCCATTCCAAGAAGAGGAAGTATGGATTCAGCTAGGTGTGGTTTTGGGCTGCTCGACAGGACCTGCAGAATAGAGTTCGCAAAATTCTCCAACTCGATAGGACCATCTGACGGATCCGACAGCTCCATCTGAACCAGAAGCTTAGCAGCTTCTTGAACAACCTGGTAGTACACAGAAGCGGACAACACCAACGACCTAAGCTTCTGTTTTATTTGTGCTGAGGTAATATTGACGCTGAGAGATATAAGAATGTCAGGAAAGGTAAACAAACTGCCAGATATGTCTCATCTCACCAAGTGTTGGTATGTATATGGTCTTTGATGAAACCAATAGTCGCGAGCTGAACCTCATACTCTCGATCATCCAAAAGATCCAGAATTATACGGGTGCCTTGATCAGCATTAGGTGGGCAGACAGCAAGGCATCGGAGCACCAACAGAGCTTGCGCTCGGCGGACTGAGTAGCCCATAAAAGCCGCCTCCCCATCCCGTCGCAAAGCTTCTAATGCATAATCTCGAAAAGTTTGACGAATATTTACAAAGTGTTGTGTGGCTAATGCATCGAGCTCTAAAAGCAGGTAGATCGTGACTTCGTTAGCTTTGATTCATTAAAGTGATTTTCATTGGACAAAACTCACCATTTTCTTCGTCCACTTCATCCCGGACCCAGGCGGCTTGTATAAAGAATTCCGTGACTATCGACAAATAAAGGGCCTTGGTCACCGGGCATGAATTATTTAGCGCGATATCAGAAGCAGCCAAGAAGACAGTAGGAAGCCGAATAGTAGCATCTGATCGAACTTGGCCGTTAGCTTTCCGTGTATCCCGGACCCTACCCACGACAAAACTTATACCTCTCCGTATATCCTTCCCAGCAACATCACTCGCTAGGTGCACACGAAGTAAATATTGTATTTGCAAAAGGGCCCCGTGTAGATGGTTCTGAGAGGCAGACTTTCCCTGCTGTATTAATCTTTCCACTGAAGGTATCAGATTTGACGAGAGGATAAGGGGGGCGTACGCCCTGGCGGACATCTCTCGAACTTTAAAAATGGCTGCCATTGCACATCGCGCAACCACAGTTCCGAAAGCGGAGAGTGTCATCAGCGTATCCGATCCTTCTAATACGGACGGTTTCACTGGCAATGTGAAACAACATTATCAAAAGTGCATAGCCGTCAGACGCAATCATCACGTACATCTTGCCAAGATCGTGAGAATAGGGTACAATGCTGGGTGGACCTCTCCCTAAATTGTGCTACGTCTGAGAAATGATATAACGATTTCGGGAACACATGAACATGCACCTCTTCTAGTTTTTCAACAGCCTCGGTCAGTTGTTGCAGAAGCAGCGAATGCAATTTCGGAAAGCGAACGAAGAACTCCCGTCCAGTCACCGTATTTACAATATTCATTTCGTCCCGTGATTTCTGTGCATGTCAAAACTAAGTTACGAATTGCCTTCCTTGTTGATATAGGGGCGGGGTACCTTAGTCCCAAGAGCTTTTGTGATCAAAGTTGAAAACAGCATCGCCGCGCAGTTCCTGATAGGAAAACTACGAGAAGAGAAGCCTTTAATGCTCAACGCGAAAGCCTCCCCAATGTGATCTCTGACTTCTGATGCCACCTCGGCGTCTTGCAAAATGGCTCTGATAACATTGTACGCATGGACCTATGAATTCGAAGTCTTCCATTTGGTATTCCTGACATCGAGCCACACGCTCAAGGCATTACACACCTGCGGCAGGTCCAGTCGCTCATTAGCATGAGCAGGTACATCTTGCATGCCAATAGCAAAAAGCTTATTGAGAGCCGATGTCAACAGGAGCTTCCGCGAAGGGACCGGTGCGCTGACAATTGCCAATACACCTAGAGGAAGGCCAGCGCTTCTCCGTGTGATGGAAACATCTACAGATACAACTTGTGCCAGGAAGCCCTAATACATGCGCGTGAGTACTTACACTCGCAACCGCATAGAACAGAACCTTCATCAAACCAACATCCAACCAGGCCTTGGGAAGCTCCACAAGAAATTCTTTTCCAGATGACAACAGTGTTGCACACACGCTTGCAAAGCAGACATGCACAGCTGAAAATGCACCGCGATGACGAATCTGATGCAAATCTTACGTAAATAATAAGGTGGGAACTACAGCCACAAAAAAAACTAACCGATGCTAACAGTGTACGCAACTGATCTCCTGATTCAACAATCTGTTCGAAGGTCACGAGCGATTCCTATTGACAAATCAGTATGGCGGCAATTTGAATATCTTCTTCATCGTAACTCACAGAGTCGCTTTGAGAAAGGGGTAGAGGCGTCCGGCAAATTAAAGCCTGAATGACTGCTGTTGTTTCCTTGATCGTGTGAAAACACGAATAGAGGATCAATTGCGCTTGACTGCCTCTATCTGAATAGGGACCGCTGGAGGCTGCACCAGCTTCGACAATCAAGTCTTCCATGTTTTGCTGCATGTCCGCAAACGATGCAGGGAGATTCCCCTCTAAATGATACAATGAGCGCGTATATTTTATAGTTCCGCCCTCAAACACTTTGAACGCACCAGGAGATTCATCAGCACATACGGAGAGAACGGCATCGCAACCAGACTTGATGAGATTCATGATATCTCGAACGAGCCTTTGCCATTCCTCTATGTTCGCCTGTATAGCGGCAGCGCCGAAATCAATTTCCAACAATACATTTCTGGAGATTAAGAAAGTCTTTCGGTATTCAGTCACTGAACAAGTTGGAACTCAAACCCACTGTAAAGCGCGGAATAACCCATGCATGGGGTGGCCTGACGCGCTCAGGTAGAGATTTTTCGCAGCTATGTCGATATTCCTGGCCAAGAGCTCCATCAGCTGCTTCACGAAGTATGCTAAACAACCGTTACAGAACTTTGTTAGGCCAAGAATAACCTTTTGCAGTACCAGGTATGCAGTCTTACCCATAGGACATCCCCCTCGTGCAAGTTTCAACTTCGTGTCCACGTCTAGATACATCTGCATTCCTTTGACGTATTTGGCAAAAACCAAACGAACAACCGTAGCGCCTGTGTCACTCTCATGGGACCGAATACTGCTAATCCAGGCAATGCCTTTTGCCAACAACGTCTGGATCGACCGCACACTCACTATTCCAGCTAACGGAGCAGGAAACTGCATCAAAAGCTCGAAAGCCTTCTCTCTGTTGGGTGCGTACGTGTCATTAAAAATAATGGCCAAGAGGACTTGAACCGTTTCACGGTTGGCTAAGGTCGGGTAGTCAGGGACCTCCGCAAGATTAACCTTTGTGTTCACATCGATGGTGGAGTCTTCACTCTCTAGTATTGTTGTCATCAAATATAGATTGCACGTCGTCCGCTGAAACGAGCAGCCTGGGAACAACGATGCGACCTAAAACGGTATGGAAAGACCTCAAGAAGGGACCTATCGTTGTAGAACAAAGCTCATCCGTACCGTAGAATCGCCAAGCCATGCAAGGAAATCTCTTTTCATTATCAGTCTTCTATTCAGATCGTTTGCTATTTCCGTCATTTGGTCCAGATTCGATGGTTTGCTAGAAGCCTTGGCATGTTCATCGATGTACATTTTGCGAGATAAGTAGTCCCTCCAATTGCTGTACATTGCCCGTCGAATGCGACGGAGGAGCTTGACAAGGTAGGCCTGACTATCGAACGTACAACCATGAATATGTGACATTGCAAGAGTAACTGCTTGCTGTACATACACCCTTTGACGGAACTCCGGTGACTGACTGTCGAGGCTGATCAGAAGATACTTCTTGAGCGCGAACAATTCCTCCTCACTGAAATCAGCGGTTCCTTGCCGCGTTTCGCACAATAATGCTAGCACATCGACTCGAAGGTTTGCATCTGGATGGCTGATAGCCTGTTCCACCATATCGCGGTTCTCTGAGTACATGAAAAATGTCAGTAGATAAATCACGGCATGGGAGAAGCCTTCTGGTACATACCGGCCAGGAATGAGCTAAGTTCCAACAAACCCAGCATGCGAGCAGCTTTGACCACAGCAATTGTTCCATGAAGACGGAATGCTGATCCTGTTGCGTCTTTCGAATACACGCCATGCTGAAGAGCTAAAAAACGATTGGGTCTGTAAGATTTACGAACTACAATCAGCTTGGAAGGTTGACATATACCGTTCATCAGCAACTGAAAGCTGCAGTGTTTCTCTTTGAGAATGATATGAATCATATTCTCGCTGCAAATCTTTCTGATGACAAGGCTTTCGCTCGTTAGCGCTATACACACTGGGTTGACCCAAAACTCGTTTGCTTGAGCGGACGACTATAGAGTTAAGCCCCTGTTTCAGCAATCTCAGCAAGTAATGCTTTTCCTGCATGAGCGGCTGACCTCGTCTTCAACTCCAATATCACTCAAAGCCTCTTTGATGAACCGGTTGATGAAGGCTGATATGCGGCTCGCCAGCATGATATTGCTACGAAGTTTCAATAGGGTCAGCACACCAACGTCGTCCATTTAGTATGGCCGACTGCATCTTACGTCATGACTGCAAAACAGTGTTCGAGGAAATCGGCACGTAAACGAAGAAGGGCTTGTGGACGGACTTTTGACAACATCAAGGATAACAAGTCATATTTGACCTACTCACATCAATCATTGTTATTGAGCTCCCTAATAGAATATGAACAGGGAAAAGACGAACTACCTTACGGTGCCAATCTGCTTTGAGCAGACCGTTTATCATCATCTGCACGTGCAAGTCGGTGTCAATGTCTACATACTGAACATGTAAAACGTCCAAAAGTCCAACGAATAGATCTTTCAGCTTTCGGGAGCGGTTAGCCACAGGAACAATTCGCGATATAGTCAGCTGTCCAGAATTACCTTGTGTTGAACAGTGTCAATGGGATCTTCCCATTGGTCAAATACATAACCGAAAAGCTTTTCAATCACCGGGGCACGAACAAGCTCCACGGTAGATTGAATCAGCGTCAATGGAAGCGTCTTGCGTGATTTGAGGATCTGTTCCACATTCGAGAGCCATGTTGCCAAGGTCTGGAACGCTAGTACACGGATACCAGATTCGGTAGCACGGTCGCAAATGTCAATAATTTGCTTGTACAGCAAACCGATGAGCGTCGGATGCTCGCTAAAGAAATAAGGAGGTAACAGAATTTGGTAATTTGTTATGTGATTGAAAGTAGTAATGCTCCTTACCCCGCAAAAGCAACTTTCGTTAAACATTTTTCGCCGGCAAAATTGATCAACAGCCCCCGGTAAATACAGAGGGCAGAAAAGTCCCAATGCGCATCTCCAACCCACTGCTCTGACATCGAAGGTATGTTCACTTGTAATATGTCACCTGGAGCATTCTTTCGATATCCAAACAATGCCCCGACAATGGTAGATGGCTCTTGTGTGATGTCCAAAAGGGCGGGTGCCAGGAAACCTGCCATGAACTGGTTCTCCTGCAGAAATCCGTGGGAAAAGCATATACGCAAGGTGGCATTAAGTAGGTCTTGCACAACGTCTCTTTTGGGGCCTGAATCTTCAATCATGACCTGGACAATGCCGGGATATCTCGTGAGTAACGCGGCAGCAATCTTAAGCAGATCGGTGCATCTTGAGAGCCTGTTAGAGATATAAATGATCGTGGTCGTTGCGTTCGTTGAAGCACTCGAGTCTGACACCTCGTTGACAATTACTGTGAGACATCTGACAAGCAGTGACAACGTCGCCCCAAAACTCTGGCCAACGACATCTTTCCCGATCGATCTGTCCAAAGTCGTCATTATCACTGCACCGAAATGCGATATAACGGAATCATCCAAAGGGCCATCCGCAATATTCTGCAGGAAGCCTTGATAATCATTAGACAGGCGATCTCGGACAATGGTTCTGTCCCATAGGGAATCTTCAGGAGCATTCTCATAGAACTCATGGATTCGCGCAACCAGAGAAAAAGCCGCGCTTCGAAATGAATTTTCACTGGGTCCAGTGGATGCAAAGTGAACCTCCAACGCGATAGGCAGGAGACAGGACTTGAAAAGACTAGAGGTTTCGACTAGCAAACTTAGATCGTCTCGTGCTTTCCCAACAGTAGATACTATTTTTCATCAATGCAGAGGATTAATAGAAGTCTTTTATGTCTAAAGTCTTATGTCAGCAAACAAGCGTCTACATACCAAGCCTTCGCAAAGCAACTAGCTGAGTAGCTTGCGAGGACGATAAGAAGTCGTGAAGGCATCGAAGTATAGCTTGGTGAGCAGGGGCCGGATATCTGGACACATTCTCGTCATATAATCGCTTCCATGTATCTTTCACCTCAAAGAAATGGACAGCCCTAAGGCTGGTCTTTTTGCTGTGCTTTGGCATTGTCAAGCAGCTAGCAGGTACCAGTCCTCCATGTTGTTCGAGTGCTATTTGTTGCCATGGTCATGATCACGTAAGTCGCGCCCGTCACGTGCTCGTCCTCGTTGTACGAATAAACCACACACACAGGATTTGCCAGGCTACGACTTGTAGTCGTATCGATGTATCCACCGTTTAAACATAGCAGCGGTTTGAACTGGCCTGTTGCGGTTGCATTCATTTCAACTATGGTGGTACGCCATAGCATAAAACCTGGTTAGCCGATGCGCTGCTATGTCTCTGCCATGCTTGAACGGTGAATACGTCGATAGGAGTTGCAGAGAGATCCAGGGAGAATGTGGTATAGTGCCCTGGAGCAAGCACTCTTGTGGTTACAACGATGTAGAGAAGAAAGTTAGAGAATGCCGGAAATCATCAGAACCGTCATCTAACATCCACATGCGTATATTTGATAATTTTCAAACTCGACAGTGAACTAGTGTTAGGATGGAATCGAGAGTTTGATCACCTATACGATCAGACTAATATTTGCACGTCCTATGAATGCTGTTGGAATGTTGGAATCATGGGGAGTGCCATTTACGCTTTCTTGATAGTAATTTAAGGTCAAGGCAACAGTTCCGTAAAACTGGAGAATTAAGCGTAAGTCAAAACAGACCCAAGGCGCATCCAGTCAAGGATAAAATCGGGGTTGTGAGGATGCCCTCGCGGAGTTTTGATTGCAAATCCTGAGGGTCAGTTTGATTGGCGGATTGATTACGCGGTTGCCAAGCCACATCGGAAAAGGGGGCGTGGGAAAGGGAGGAAGCAGAACCTCCCAACCGTCCAGCGCACAGTGTTGAGACAGAGTCGGCTCATCGCCTCTTGCACTGCTCGTACCAATTCGACGAATTCTACTTTTGACTTGTCGGGAGCACACTTTGAGACTCTTTCACTCGAGCTCAGATACACCCTTTTAGGTTGGATCTGTCGTCAACGTCACCACTTCCGGCATCTCATCTACCTTTGTTGCGCTCGTCGAACCTTGCACCCGGTTGCCTAAGCTTACACGTCTGTGTCGGCAACTCCTGGCCAGGTGGAATTTAGCTTGGCCAACGCCTCAGTTGCAATTCAAAGGTGACTGGACCCATTGAATGCACTGGGACTTGCTCACATCTGAGCTTACCCGGATACCTTTCGCTGAATAGCCTCTGATATATTCCGCGACCTTTGCAGTATCTCTCTCACCCCATCGACCAGTTTTTATCTCGAAAGAACCATGAACACACATCCTTCTCCTCCTATTACACCCGTTACTACTCCGTTCTTAACACAGCTACCAACGGCACCCTCGAGCCGGTCCGCGTCCCCGGAGCGTTCAAAAGCATCATTGGATCAGTCTAAACTAGCTCCAACGTCTACTAGTCTTCCAACCCCCGCCGTATCTCCTACCAGTGCAACTCCAGCACACCCGGAAAACGAGACAGATCTTCCGAGGAAGAGGAATCAAGTAAAACGGGCGTGTGGTCAGTGCATTTTAGCAAGTGAATGTCGACAGTGGTGGAAGATATATGATGCTGACGCTTGTGCTGTTCTTTGTCAGTCAATTGCCAGAAAGCATGTAAAAAGTGTGATAATGGCCGTCCCTGTTCCCGCTGTATTAAGTTTGGTCTGGAAAAGACATGTGCAGATTCCGCCCGTAAGGAGCGACAGCGAGGTACGTTAATATTCAGATGTGGGGTAAAGTGGCCGAGATTATGCATTCTCTAACGCTTGATCCATTCATGATCAGTTGGTGTAAAGAGAGGGCCTTATAAACGTAAGTTGAATTAGTCTATCCAGTGCTCAGACCCCCGGGATTCTAATGTTATGTTTTGCATTCAACTTGCTTTGCCAAACAGAAACTGGACGTTCTGGATCCATTGATCATGGTGTGTAAGGTTCATGTGTTGTCGCCATTGTCAACAGAGTGCTGATTATGTGCCCTCTCGTGCCTTGAAGGTCATGATGATGGACTAGGGCCAGCGGCTGGATGGTCGAAATTGGATATACTATCGCGGATTTGTAACACTGTCCTGGTCCATGCCCGCGAAGCGACATCGGGGAATGAGAGTGGAACTATCGATGACCCTGAAGTCCTAGCGGCACGATCACTCGAGATCATTGCCAATCGTGCTCGAGGAGTTGACGCAGATTCACTAGATTCATCACCGGATCCAGAAAGATATGAATACGACCACCATCACTTTGATCATCAGTGCCTGGTTCAGGAAGCTTACCGGAAAGGATTTGCGCCATTTGGCAATATCAGATTCGATCATTTGGCAGCTACCCTGGGAAGCACGAGCTTCTCTGCCACAGGGACCCTCGGCGCTTATGGGTCGATGTATCCGTTTGGTGCCATATCAAGCCTCGACTCGCTGTCCGGCTCACCACTAAACGACTTTGAGTATTCATCGGTTCGATTTTCGCACTATGGTCTCCCTGGATATAGCGCGCTGTCGTATGAGCCCCCTACTATTGTGCAGGTCCGAGAGCCCAATCCGTTGGATGACTTTGCTGCCATCTCCGACACAGTCCGACGAATGGAGGATGAAGCAAGTGCGAGGTCGAAAAAGCGGAAATCTGCGTCGTTGGGAACAACAGCGGCGCCATCGGCGACGGTGCCAGTATCCGGTGTTGCATCGAATGTATCGATGGCAGCCACCAACGGCAACAGCACAACACCCGGTGTACCGTCAGCTGTGGCTGAACCACCCCACGACGGTAAAGACGGCAATGTGTTTGGAGGAGGCGTTGGAGGTGGAGGAGCAGGAGCAGGATATCCGCGAATGAGTTCATTAAATGTGACGACGTTTCCGGTTGCGGCCGCCGCGGAGCGAATGACTGGATATCTGCATGGGGGCAGCTTTGCGAAGTCCATGACTACCCATGGTCTTTATCCGCCCGTGGTTTCGATTTTGCCACCTCACAAGAGCAATGGCGTGGAAAGAACCTTGTCATCATCACCCATGTATTCTCCGCCAACGCCTCCAGAATTTTGCGTTCCCAGCGAAGGGCTTTTGGAGCCAGATGCTAAGCGTGTTCGTCTTGATGTTATTTGAAGTAATTTGGTTTTCCTTCTTTGTATATACCAGAATCGACTAGTTTGAAGATTTTATTGTTGTGTTATTTTGATGAGAGGTTGAGGGGGGCGGAGGGATACTGTTTAGGGAAGGCTATAGCATGTAGGGCTACGATCTTTCTCCAGTTGGGCTGTTGGGCTTTTGGTTCTTAATAAAATTTTTGATCATGCAACTATTCGAGTCAATATCACCATGATGCACGTGATTAGTCATGTGGATCCCGGCCTTCTGTTTGGAATGACCCAAGATGTATGTTAAGTGTGGAACCTGCAGTCTCATTGATTTAAAGTAGATCGAGGCCTCCTTCAATGGATGAAAATTGTATAAACTTAAAAATGAAAGTCTTTTGGAAATCTAAAATACTAACTGTATTTGGGAGGCGAACTATGAAAGGGAATGAATAATTATTTGTATTCAATAAATGGGACAGGTTGAATTTTCGATGATGCAAGTCACACTTGTTAAAAAGTTGAAAATTTACATGTCGTGGATGACCTCTCCCACAGACAGCGAGTAGTGGAGAGCACAAATGCAGAGCGGACGAGCGGACGAACGGCCGTCTGCGTTCATTGTGGGGCGGCGTTGTTTCACCTACTCCTGTTTCAAAATTAGTAGTGAGTTACTACTTTTGCCTATGGGATCTGAATTGTTTTGCTCCAAACGATGCTTCAAACGTGGTGGATTTTGTCGATTTTTCTTGCTTGGGGGGGAGGGGGGAGGTTCTTGTCGGAAACGGGAACAGCACCAACTTCTGTTTTCATTTATTACAACGGATTGGTTTTGGTCCTAGGAGACGCTTGCGTGGAAAAAGTGTGTTGAGGAACCTTACAGCGTAGTCCCCGGCTTGCATATTTATTCGTACCCATTCCACATTTTCCCCCAATTATTCCAAGAGCTTGAACATTCTGTCGCTCGTCGTCCAGCCGTCGTTTTTGGTACTTAAGCTGGACTCTTTCAACGCTCCCATTGTTTTGTTCAGCAGCCTCCCCCACATAGACACACAGTCTTCTACCCAGAAAAGGTTCTCTCATCGACACTTCCAAGCTCTTACCTTGGAAAGATGGGTCGCAAGTGTTTTCTTGGAAGTGGTGCTTATTTAGCACTGGGCCTCGCTACCACTGCGTTGGCGCATCCCGTTGACCACTTTGTTCGGCGAGGAAATGAAGTCGGTTACTATCAGCCACCCGCCAGCGCCTGGAAACCTGATGGCAATGCTCCACCAAAGTTTGACGCCAAGCCGTTGGCACCGTCCGACTTTGCCGGTGCAGCAAGCAACTGGCTGTCCAACACGTTCAACTTGACAGGCGGTGCGATGCAGAGCGGGTAGGTGTTTCTACAAATCCGTCCCTGCTAGTGCATTGTTGCTCATTCATCAAATACAGCTATCAAGATAGCCATAATGGCTTGTATCACTACTACGCTGCCCAGCAAGTGGATGGACTTACGATTGTCAATTCTAATGCTGATGTTCATATGGACTCGTTTGGAAATCCAGTCATGGCATCCCAAGCCTGGGCTCCGGTGACCAAGCTGCAACGACGTGACCAAATTCCTGGTCCAGAGATTTCTGCAGCTCAAGCTGTTGAAGGCTATGCAAAGGCGTTTGGCTTCCCCACTACTGCTAGTCAACTCACGGAGAAGAAGAATGAGGATGGTTCCTTTAGCATCACCGGGGCTGCCTTTGCTGATTCGGCCATCAAGGCCGACCTTAAACTATACCAGACTCAAACTTCCTTGGAGAAGGTCTGGAGCTTGAGTGTCCAGAGACCCGATGCTTGGTATGTTGTCAAATGAAAAAGAACAGTCGATTTGGACAAAGTTAACTGGATCATACTTTTCTTACAGGCACGTCGCTTACGTTTCCGTCAAGGATGGCGCACTGATTGGCAAAGCCAACTGGCAGACCGCCAACTTCTGGGACCCGCCGGCGCCCGCCGCCAAGGCTCCCACAGCTAGACGCTCAATATTTGACAATGAGCCGGTCGACCATACCACTTTCATGGACGATCTTGTCAAGCTCCGCCGACGCCAAACCGGTGGCAACGCTACAATTCCCGACACAAAGTACCGTGCTCTTCCCTTCGGCTCCAAGAACGTACAAGATACACCACCGGTCCTGATCGCCAATCCTTTCAACCCAGCCTCTTCTCCCCTCGGTTGGCACGATGTGGGAGATGGTGCAGGTTCCCTGCCCACTACCGTAGGCAACAACGTTGTTGCACAAGAGAACCGCAAAAACGCTAAAAACCCACTCAATAACAAGCGTCCTATCGCCCTCGACTTCAACTTTGATTTCCCAGTGGATCTCAGTAAAGAACCTACAACGTACACGGACGCATCCGTCACGAACATGTTCTTCCTTTCAAACTTCTTCCATGACACCATGTACAAGTACGGTTTTACCGAAGCTGCGGGCAATTTCCAGGCCACCAACCTGGGTAAAGGGGGTAAAGAGAGGGATCCCGTCGTGGCCAATGCGCAAGATGGATCTGGTGTCAACAATGCGAACTTTGCCACTCCTCCCGACGGACAGGTCGGTGTGATGCGCATGTTTATTTTCGACACGTCAAGGCCCAGCCGGGACGGTACGCTTGACAACGATGTCCCTATCCACGAACTTACCCACGGAGTCTCAATGCGTTTGACGGGCGGGCCTGCCAACTCCAACTGTCTTGATACCTTAATGGCCGGTGGGATGGGAGAGGGATGGTCTGACTTCCTTGGTGTCTCGTTCGGTATGACCGCCAAGGACAATCGTAATACTGATAAGCCCGTGGGACAATATGTCACAGGCAGCCCGAAGGGTGTCCGTGGTATCCCTTACAGCACAAACCAGAAGACAAACTCTCTCACCTACGAGACATTGAACGATCCAAAATTCGCGGCAGTTCACCAGGTCGGCACCGTTTGGAATACCATGTTGTTTGAGGCCTATTGGAACATGGTAGACGCAAAAGGCTTCACCGAGAATTTCCAGGACGGCCCACAGAGTGGAAAGGGTAACGCACTCATGATCCAGTATGTTGTTGATGGCTTGAAACTTCAGCCCTGCAACCCGGACATGATCCAGGCTCGTGATGCCATTATCGCTGCCGAGAAGGCGTTGACAAAGGGGGATAACATGTGCCTTCTCATGACGGCTTTCGCTAAGCGTGGATTGGGAGCGACAGCGACCAACCAGTTCCCTTTCAAGAACAGCTTCGACGTACCTCCCGAATGCCAGAATGGCGCAAACAAGGCTCCAGGTGCACCTCCGGGGCCGCTGACAGGAATCACAGCAGCTGCCGCTGCGCCGCCGGCAGCACCCAGTGGACTTGCCCCCACTCCTGCTGCACCTGCGAGTTCTGTGGACGTCGAAGTAATCCCTGACGCAGTGGTTGATCCAACCACCAACCCCGATGATGTTCTCGCCAACGAGGCCAATGCTGCCAACGATGCCTCAAATGCATAAGGCTGCATAATACTGTTGCAGGAACTGGTACAACGTATACAGTGCACAACTCTTTAGAACGTTTATTTTTGGTCCGAGCTACTGGGAATTGGGCAGCGTGCGCTGACAAGTGCATGGTGCATGGCTTTTTTTTCATTGCAAAATACTTTCTTTATGACTTGTTTTTATGAGGGTTATGGTCTGTAAGTAAAATGTTTGAATAGATGAGCAAACAAGTGCAGCGAGACGTTACACCTTTAGAATTTAGAACACTTTTTACAAGTGGAAGAGAACGACACACAGTCGGAAGTCGTGGTAGTAGCTATAAAATATCTAGATAGAATACCTTGGTAGACGTCGTGAATATGTCCCGTAGTACCATTAATGACTGAAGAGAAGTTACGTTGATATGAAAAAAAGAAGTGAGAAAAATCGATACATAGTTTCAAGTATTGCTAGTTACACATTTCATATCCTTTGTGAATTCCAAACCTGGCTCCGAGTCCTCGTACTGCGGGACATGGCACGCTGGGCCCACATGAGACATACAAATGTCCCAGTTTGTTAATGGACACTCTTTTGACAAGCACATGCTGATTCATATTTTGGGAATTCTCTTATTTGAAACGAATCTGGACATGCGTACTCGAAAATGTTCCAAACAGCAATAGATATGTTTACCGGGAAGTTATCTCTCCCAGTTTCAGAGTAGCAATATGTGGATGTAAACGTAACTGTGGTCACCACAACGAATCGTTATCAGTTACTAAGAAGGCATAAGGACTTTTTCCTGATCTGTGGAGTATTGTTTATGGGGGATCCATCTCATGTCCTGCTTATCGGCAACGAGAACATGATTGACATAAACATTTCGATCCAGGTCCTCTCACACCGTGATAATTTTTGATATTTGGTCTAAATCCTTTTGGTTTTACCCTTAACCACACGATTCAATATGATTCATATCTGGTTTTGGGAAATAGTATCGGGTTTGACGCCATTCTTCAATCCAAATATAGTAGCTCGCCAATCCGGGGCTCTTTAGCTTCGGTAGATGCTATGATATGGAGACTGGTAGGAAGAACCGATATCAAAAAAACTTGGGTTGACGAGAATCCGCGGATGTTCGGACTCGAGTGAAATGCCGAAAAGTCGTTTTTGAATAGACCCAAACAATACGCCAACATTCCTTCGGAGGGATTCCCGGAACGCGGGCTGGGGGTTATGCGGAGACTATCAATAGTAACCAGATTCTAGACCTGCCGACAACCTGGTCTCCCTAGATCCAGAAACCAACGGACAAGTTCCTTTGGCAAAGCATGTCAAAGTTGTTTGCGCACGATCGCTTGAATCTTTATGCATAGAATAGCATATTCATCTTGTATATATCCTTTGCTGCCACCTTACTATCCCTTATTAAAAAAACAAGGCTGAACCACAGCTTTTACAGGTCGCAACCTCCAGAGAATCACCCATAGCCAGAGTATCCCGCACACTATAGATGTGCATGTACATCGAGGACTTTCAAACGCCTACTACACCAGAACAGCCTGTTACAGATACCACATCAAAGTCACCTCTCGAAATCGCCATTCTTCAAACATACGGTATTTTGCCCTTACCCTCGCATCCCGATAAAGCTATCCCAGTTCCCCGTCAGATTCATCATGGCAGCTCGGTAGCAAAGGAGCGACCGAAATCGTGGCCTTCGGCGCCCGACACGCTGATCTCTTCTCGACAACCTGAACGCACTACGGGGATACCGACGTCCCCCGCCACTTTGCAACCAATTACCTCACCTTCGGTACTGATCAAAACCGTGTTGCAAAGGCGTATGATTTCTATAAAGCGGGGTGGTGTGAAGACGTCCGGTCGTGGACGGCAAAGAAGCGCCAGCATGTTGACTCCACGATGTAACGCTGTGTCATCTTGTGGTGTGGTCGTAGAGGAGGATGAGAGCGAGGAGCACACTAAATAGACAGCGGGACGGACATTGTGGGCCAGTTATACATAAGTTTTGTTTTCTGGGCAGCTTGCAGTCTATCCAGGTAGTATATGCGTCATTAAAATATACCATTATTCATTAGAAAGTGGGAGTAGAATTGCCATTTTGTTTGCGCATTTTTTTAAGCAAAAAGTGACAGTCATTTTCTGCATTTCTGCAAAATGCCGTGGGCTGCTCTAGCATTGGCTTGCTTGAAGATTATAATTACGACATACCACTCGAATTGAGGTAGTGAGCAAGCAGATGACGTCGTCACAGAGATGCTATTCTGCAAGGTTCTTCATCATCCATCCCGCCTTTGTCGCGGAATGTCTACGATGAACGGGTATCATGGGGAACAAGAGATTCTGGTCTGGGGATCAACGTTTGTACATGTGTGATAGTGTAGGCATGGCTATGAGACAAGTGCTGAAGTTCACGAGACGTAAATTCATATGCAAATCTCTCACAAGAAACCGAACCAATGTAATCCAATATAATTTGCACTGAAAGTGAGCATGGAGAAAAGAAAAGACGGAAACCGAACATGAGCGAACTATATACACCTATAAAACTTTGATATCTACGGAAATTATGCTACTTGCCCATCTCTAAGTTCTTCCCATCTATCAGCAGAGTAAGTTATCAACCCTCATTGGACTCGTCTCCTTTTTAGGCTCAGGTCTAGCTGGCATTGTAGTTGTAGACATTGTGGATGGCGAATATACAGGACTGGGAGTTGTTGATGACACTGTTGAATCAGCAGATAGTCTTCTCGGTTGTCGAAGAGGCCATGAAGCTGGTGCTGAATAACCCATCGGCTGGTACACGATGTGATCACGGTGGGTAGATGTGTATACGGGTATTTCTTGCACGGCGTTGGATGGATTCACAGAATGGCGAGATATGTACTGTGTGGGTTGGGGAGGGACAGGGTGATGCGCAGCGTAATTCATAGCAGGATCGGTCGGAGGGAAGAGTAAGTGGAGATCCAAGTCGTCAATATCAACATCAAATTGCATATAGCGAGCATGATGGAGACGTGGATGGGCTATTGCGGTAGGAATGTGATTATGCTGTTGAGCGCCACTGGACATTCCAGGACCTTGCGCAGTTGGAGGTGGTCCAGCCCTTCGAATCCGTTCTCGCTCCGCCACGAGTTTGTATACGACCTTTCTCAGGTAGTAGATATAGTCAATGGTGTGTTCAAGGACAGTCAGTTTGTGAAGATTTGGTTGCATTGCGCAAGTCGGTACTAGAGACCGGAGGAGGGCGACTTTATCCTTTATCTTTTCCCGTCTCCGCTTTTCCACTGCTGAATGAGCGACACGACGAAGATTGTCCCGCAATTCGCCACCTTCCATTTCATCATCAGAGCCTTCATGTCCGTTCCGAGATGGACGTCGAACTGCTCTAGTCGTGCTGCCTCTTTGGCTCCTTTGAGCCGTCCGAGGGGATGATGACGTGGCTGACGGGTTTCCACTCAGCGGAGAGTCAACGTCCATAGCGGAAGCTCGCCGCAAAAGAGGGCGGTCAGATGGTGTGTTTGGGATGGCGGCAGGTATGGAGGGGCTGTCTCTAGCTCTGGCAGTCAAGGAGAGGGATTTGAAGTCTGGGGCGCTCTGAGCCCTAAATGTCTCTATCAAGGGCATTGTGGAGAGGACGGGAGCGTAAGAGACCTTCATAACCGGTCTAGTTGTTGCTGTTGTTGCTGTTGGGCTCTGGTGGCAATGATATCGCCGAACTGAAAATTGTCTGTCACTTTTGGATCCCCCCAAAGGAAGAATGACGCCAGACGAATGCTTTCTGGTCAAATTCTTTTCCCTTTTTCCTCCACGGTCCGCTCCCTTGCGCAAGTTGTTGGAGATTGGCAGGTTGGAAAGCCTTCCACCACTACGAAAACAGCAGGAAAACGATCACGCGAGGGCACTGAAAGCGGAGGTAAGCGGAAACAACCGGGACCGTGCAGCTCACGCGTCGGTGATTACCTACGCACCAAACTCCACCAGGTCGCACTGTCACACTCGGTGCACGCTTTAGCCTGTCGCACACTCACATGGAAAGAGTCCCCGTCAGCGCGCTATAAAAACTAAAAAAGGACTTGTCCACCAGCGGCGACGGCGCAATCTGACAAAGTTCCGTGCTTCTCGTTCGGACATTTACGGAGACCAGGCACGCGCAAAGGCGTTCTCTTTTGCCACAGGTTTAATGCCCCCTTCCCTGCATGTGAGCGGTGGATTTTGAGCTGTGGGGGACGTAAAAGACGGCTGTATTACTATATCATGTGCAAGGCATTCCAATGATGATTATAGAATCTTTTCATACGTCACCCGCAATCAAGGAAATGCTCCAAATGATCTCCGCTCCCCTCAACACAATTCCTCGATTACCAACACACAGCGTACATCTGATATTCCATAGTTGCCAAAATCTGGCTTCACAATGTGCTGTCGTAAACCCTCTGGAAATACAAATAAACTAACTGCGTTTTCAAGGCACGTGGTTACTTCATTTAACGCGACTAAGCCATCAAACGTTTCGAGCGGCAATCGTTGTGCATTGGGAGCAATGTCCGCGCCCGTTGCACTTCAAACCCTTTGGCACGGACAGCCACCCCTGCCATCAACCAAACACGCCCTTCCGGCAAAGCAGCGTATCAGTTTCCATAGGGTTACTGCCTGCGTACCCGTTGGTAAGTAAGAGTACCTGGCGATAAGTGAACAACGATCGCGATATGGGTGGTAACGCTGGATCCCATGTTACAATTGATAGTAGGGATAACTTGACAGCCATGTTGGGATCGAACGCGGAGAATGCAGAAGATCCGGGTGAATATGCAAAAGTGGAGGCGGCACCACCAGGAATTGACGACACGACGGAAGAGCCGAAACTCAATGATCTAGGAACTGTAACGGTTGAAGAGAGTCCCCCAGTATCCGAAGTTGAAGAGAGTCCGCCAAAAACGACTGTTGAAGAAAGTCCTATTAGAACAACAGTTGACGAAAGTCCCCTAGAATCAGCAGTTGAGGAAGGTTCTCTGGGAACAACCATTGAAGAAACGCCCCTCGAAAACCAGGGTCCACAGACCACAGGTGGGAGTGATGCGGCGAACGCCGGCAGTTCGCCACATGTAGACACTCTACCGAAGCCGGACGGCAAGACCAAACCTTCTGCACGCCGTCCGAATGCAAAACCTACTACCCGACCCGTGGTATCCAAGACAACAGCCTCATCCAAGACGCTGCCTACCACCGGCCAGATCGACAGTAAAACAGGAAGCAAGCGTGTATCCACACGCGGATCTGTATCGCCCCCAGTTCAAAGCGTGCGGAAAGTGTCTGCAGTAGCAGCGAAGGATCCTGCCAAGACGGCTCCGACTTCAAAAAGTGTAGCCCATTGGAGCGTACCGATTACCTCAAAAAAGCCCGAAAGGGAACCGCTATCTCGAAGACTAACACATCCCTCATCCACGAGCGAAAAGTCCTCACCGACGACTGGATCACGCAAGGAGGCATCTTCCCGTGGAACGTCAGCAGTGCGCTCAGCTACGCCCTCTGCGTCCCCAACATCAACAGCTAGGACAACAGCGTCGTCTAGTTCAGTATTATCTCGCAAGGCAACGAGTTCCGTGGGAACAAAACCTGTGGTATCGCAGCCATCAACAACATCTGGATTGCGTTCTGTCTCTTCTCCCATTAGCAAGAGGACCTCGACAGTGAACTCGACAGGTCCGTCTGCAAGTACGGTGGCCAAGAAAACACCCGTCGCAACCTCAAAAGTGAAAGTTCAAACTGCCGCTACCCAGGCGACACCGATTAGCAAAAGCGACGATGCCCTCAGGAAGCTAGGGGAAACGGAAAAGGAGCTTGCGGCACTGAAAGAAGAGAATATGCGATTAGTTGAAGGGAAAATGGAGCTTATAACACTCAAGGCGGAGAACGAGCGGATCCCAGACTTGGAGGAACAAGTAAAAGTCTTGCGAAACGATCTCGGACGAATCGCGATTTTGGAGGCAACGATCGCGACGCTAGAGCAAGAAAATTCAAACCTCATGCGGCTACAGACTCAGCTTGAGGATCTCAAACAGATGAACTCGAAAATAGGTCCATTAGAGGAGGAGGTTAACTCTCTTAGACAGAAAAATGCAGCGTTATCCGTTGTCGCCGATGAATTAGTAAACGTGGAGAAAACCACCGCAAGAGAAATTGAGCAGCTCAAGGAAGAGAATGCTCGTCTGTCCGATTTGGAAAAGGATGTAATCGAGTTGAATGCCGAAAACACTAAACTATCTCTACTTCCCAAGGAGATTGAGAGACTTACGGAAGTTGTCAACGCACTGAAGAAGAACAGGGAAGAAGATGCGGTCAAGGATCCTCACATTGAAGGAGAGTCGCGCGCCCGCGAGCTGGAGGAGAAGGATAGAAGGCTAGCCGCTTTGGAACAGGAACTCTTTGAAAGGCAGGCGTATATTCACGAGCTAGAGGAAGATAATGCCAAGTTGGCAGCTTTGCAGCAGCAGCTTGCTGAAACGAAGCTCGATAATGACCGACTCAATGCGGAGATCTCGCGGTATGATGTAAATCTATTGGTTGCCTTGAAGCAGAACGTAGCCGAGTTGCGTGAGGAAAACACGGAGCTTTTGGAAACTATAGAGATGTTGAAATCCAAACTGAGCAACGCACCAACTGGTGCGGACAACGCCGAAGCTGCCAGTTCCAAGCTGCATGAAGATAACGCAGAGATGCAGGAGACCATAGTAATGATGCAAGCCAAACTAGATGCAGCATCAATGGGCGTCGAGACCGCCAAAGCTGCAAGTTCCCAGCTACGTGAAGAAAACGCTGAACTGCAAGCGACTATAGAAGCTATGAAAGCCAAATTGGAAACAGCATCAATTGAAGCCGATGGTGTCAGTTCCCAGCTGCAGAAAGAGAATGCTGAGTTGCAAGCGACTATAGAAGCGATGAAAGCATCAACTGAAACTGATGATGCCAATTCCCAGCTGCGCAAAGATAATGCTGAACTCCAGGAAGCCGTACAAATCATGAATGAGAAGTTAGAAGCAGCCACAAGGGCAGTTGAAGTGGCCGAATCTGTGAATGCAGAGGTTCTCGTCAAGCTTGCAACAGCTGAGGGAATTATTGCCGACTTCCCTAGCAAAATTGCTGAAGTGGAGGCCAATTCGTCGAATCTGGTTGCCAATCAGTTACGGGCGGTATCCTTGCAATTGACGGACGCCGAATCAAAACTTGAGGCAGTGTCTCAGCAATTGGCCGAAGAAAAAGACAAGTCAGCGATGCTAGCTGATAGTCTGCTGGAGGCGGAAGGAAACATCACCACTCTCAAAGATGCCTTACATGAAGCGGAGAAGACCGCCGAAGATCTTGCTACTCGACTGGCATCCGTGGAAAGCAAAGCTGAGGCAGTGTCTACGAAACTAGCTGCAGAAGAGGCTAATGTCAGTTCATTGACGCAAAAACTGGAAGAGTCGCAGCTTGGTACTTCACACTTGGCTGACCAATTGGAAACAGCTAGAAAGGAGTGCATCCGCCTCACGCGCGAGTTGCGTAACTCAGAGGATGAAAGAACCACATTTTCAAGGATGATGGGCGCTGTAGAGGAAGAGAAGATGGCGTTGGCAACTCAGATTGTGGAAACAGAAAAGTCGCAGCAGTCAACGACTGGTGACCGTACTTTTGATTCGGCCACAGAGACAAACGATTTGATCGCCTTGGCAGCCGATGTGGCATCGGAAGGTAGAGATCTGTTGGATGTCCTGGCCCAGGACCAAGAATTTGGAATTCCTAGGCCCACGCTTCCCGAAGTGGCAGACGAGGAGAAGAGCACGCAGGAATCAGCGGTTACGGAAACACCCGAGACGACCATCACTAGTGAAGCAAATCAACCTTCCACTTCATTTGCCCAGCATTCGTCACAAAGCGATTTGGGGTCCCCAGCACAGCATGCGCCCGATATCACCCCGCCTATAATTCCAGTAGAAGGCACTGAGGAAATTGCGGAAATGCAAATGGTAGAGGATGAATACATCGCTGAGATGCAGACCAGGGAACAGGATTATGCAGCCAGCCGAAGACCACATGATTCAGGATTTTCCTTTGAAACGCACACGAACGAAAGCGATGTTGTGGACCACACAATCGACGAAATTAACAGTGAACTTTCGGAGTCTGCTGTCCGTCTCAGTACTCAAATGCCGGAGGTGTTGAGGGAGAAGTCAGTTCTCGATCCAGTCTATGAAATTGTCGAGGGAGCAGAGAGCGCCTTATCGGAGTGGGCCGCTATGAGTCAAACCGTAGAAGAACCCTTGGGAGAGAATACCACGGACGACGCCAACAAGGATGAACCTAGTAGCATGAGCACAATCGGTGTTGAGTTTAGTGCTGGTAAAGAGGGGCATGTAGACGACGCTGATGTAGCCGACACAGCTGAGAATTTGAGCGAAGGTCATGAGGGAGATTCTGCGGCTTCTGGTGAAGAGCAATGTTTCAAAGAGGTAGAAAAAGCCAAGGGTCCCGAGGACTTTGGTGCAAATGAAGTCGATAAAAGCGATGCGGGCTGCACGGGAATTCCTGATTCAGGGCCAACTACGGATTCCAGTGATGGCGAGCAACAACCAGGCGCTGATGAGACATTGGCTATGGACGGTCTCGAACCTCAGCGCTCTCGTCTAAATTTGAACGAACCTCATTCAGGGTCGACTGAGGAGATGTCTACCAAGACCGAACTGTCTGATATCGAGCCCGATTTGGGGGACCGCAGAGCAGGGGATTCCGGAGCCGATGTGGAGGATGACACCGAACGGCCTGACCATGGTCCTGCAACCACATTGCAGACAGAAGCACATGTGGCATCGGAACGGCCAAAAAACGAAGGTGAGGGAGAGGATTCTAATGGCATATCGGGCAGTGTCGGTCATGAAGACGAAGCTTATCTGGGCTCCGACGCAACCACGGAATCCAGCCCAAGAAGTATTGACGGTAGTTTCATGGACGAGCAGCCGCCCGAAAATTTAATGAGCCCAAGTTATTCTATGGACGTTGACTTGCAGTGTGACAAGGACAACGCTGACATCATGGATGCGAGGCCACCCGTTGTTGAGGAAGCCGTGCCAACGGCAAATGTCCCTAGCCTCATGGATGCTAGTGCGGATGAGCAGAACGCACCTCAGGGTGCACAACCCGGTGAGGAGGCATTCTCTGACCAAACGGCAAGCGGATCTGAAGGGGCAATAGAGTTGCAGGCTGAGACTGGTCATTCTTATTTAGACAAGCTACTCAGTGGATATTTTGGAGATAATTCAACAATCGAAGGAGGTGACCCCTCCGATCCGGCGCATGAACGTCAACTGAAATCTGTAGCAAAAACATTGGCATGGGATGCCGTTGCAGACGCACTGGAAGAATTGCAGATTGAGGCACACATAAAGTCTGCCACGGAGACCGAGGAGGTCAATTAGAGGTGGATTGCATAAATATTGGTAGCTTCTGCTAGACTCGATGCGAATGTTTTTTTCTTTTTTTCTTTTTTTTCTGAGCCTCATCGTTATTTCACTCCCCGCAATTTGTAAAGTTTATGGATTCAACGTATGTAGTTACAACGTATGTAGTTAGAGAGCACAAAGATGGCCAGTTATTTGAAGTCCTAGTCAGAAGCGATGATTGCGCCCCTTTGTGTCCAACTTGGTTCGACTCTTGTCATCTTGGTCATTGGTATGAGGCTCCTTTGTGGATGTCGCCCGGGACGAGGGAGCAGAATCTGACGTTGATGCGTTTGTGTCAACCAAGATACCGGCGGAACCTCCATACAAGTCCGCGAGGGAACTCGAGAAGGAGCCTTTGGAGGAGTAAGCAGCAAAAGTGATGGGGTGTCCGTACTGTTTCAACCGCGCAAACGTTAGGATCACAATGCTCAAAACAAGTAACATCATTGTTGGTTTTTACCTCGTCTTGCTCGGAAGGGTTCATCTTTCAAATATCAGTTCCAATTCAATTCTTACAGATTTCTCACCTTCGTCGGTCGGTTTTTATGCATGCAGCAGAAGAGCCCCTTACCTTATCCTGTTGTCCTCACGAGGTACCAAGTATTGCCTTCACGGGAGCACCGCGTGCATGCGGGTTTCTGTTTACGTAACGTGTCCAAGACATCAAGCAGGTTGAACCATAGCAAACCGGTTTGAACTGTACCAAAAGAAGGGCGATGGGTTTGTTCGCGTGTTGCTAAACATGTTTGATGCACCTTTTTGATGCAGATGGGGGGGGGGGGGGGGGAGAGCAGAAGAAATGAAGCAGAACTGAGTAGTTTTACAATGTTAAATCTATCGTATTCAATTAATGTTTGGAGATGGGCATCGTTTCGAGGAGATGGAGAGGACTTTAGGGGGTGGACACACACATACGCACGAACCATTCCAGAGCCTGGAGCAGCAATGAATGTTGTTTTGAATGTCAACTTTTGGAGGGCCTTTGTTTTGCTTGCTTTGCATAAAAGCAACAGTTCTGAAATGCAAAATGCAGTAGAAAAAAATATATTATTGAAACACTGCACCACTGAAAAAGCAACGCCCCTTCCCGCGGCTTGTCATTCTTTGACCCAAGACCCTGTTTCCAACATCCACCCCCCCAACTTGGCTCACCAATTCTACAAAAAAAAAAATCCTTCCTAGTACGAAACAATACGCCAACGGAGACTGCAAGAACGAACAGGTTGTTTTAACCCATCTGCTGACGTGGAAGAAACCGGGCTGCAATTTGCAGAAGAACCAGCGATTCGTTTTCCTGGTTTGCCCAAACGGATTGTGTCAAAAAGTCTAACTCGAGGCAGTTTTGGGATAACCTCGACGTACGGAGGCTTTTTCTTTTCCTTGTCTACTCGCAAGAGTCAAAGGCGTAAAGAAGCAAACGTTCCCAGAGGTATGAACCCTAATAAACTATAGAAAAAAAAAAATAGTGCCCCTTGTATGTGTGGCCAAATGAAGGCTTATCCATGAGTGTATCATTACAGGTCCTGAACTGCCCATTGCTGGACTTGCCCATCTTCCTCCAATCTTTGAGATTTTATTCGACTTGCAAAGAACTGGAGGCGCACATGCTCGTCGCGCCGTCTTACTGCTCGACACAAGAACCATCTGCCGGGCGAAATGCAGTCGCAAGAGCAGCAACCGCACTCGCTATCTAACAGGTACGTGAATGAACTGCATCAATGCTCGCCAACACACATGGATATACACACCCGCACAAACACACACACATGCACCGGCACATGCAGACAGAGAGATAGGAACAGAGGGATACACATCTGTGGCCTGAACGTAGATTTCCTGCGTGGCAAAGTCTTGTGCATGATTCGCAGGGCGGCCGCCACCGTGTGTAGATGCTTGGTACGAGCACGATGTTAACAAAACTGCTCACTAACACCACCTTTTGTCTGTCGTTTACAGACCGCTACTGGATTCTTCTACTACGTCTTCCCTTCCTCGGCCTTCAGACAACCTGTACGGCACCGACCAAATGTCTTCAAACACCTACTACCTCGAAACTCTACGGGACTCTAGCAGTGATAAACTGTCCGATGTGCCTTCGTTCAGCAAAAAGTTGACTGTGAATGGAGGAGCCAGCAATGGAGCTACAACCTTTAGAAGGGCCAGGGCAGAGACTTTCTCTTTTTTTCCATCTAAACTGCTTCCAGAGGAGACGTCTGCTGCAGCACCCACACCTAGTACATCCTCGAGTATAATGGCCTCCCGTCACCGCTCTGGGTCCCTTTCCCTTCCTCGCACTGGCATATCTGGCGCATTTGGCCCTTCATTGTTTGCCACATCATGGCAACCATCCAGCACTATGAACGGACTGGTAAGTGAGCGGCCGACGCCTTCAGAGTATGCTAGCAGCGCAGGCGGGGAGGACGAAACCACTGCGGTTGCACGAACCTTGGATTATCTTGGATTGGATGATCCCGTTCTAGAAAACGGGCGACACTTCGCTCAGAGCGCACAGTATCCGCAAATGTCCCGAGGGGTTGTTCCAAACAGCCTGGGATCCGTTTACGCGAACCGAGGGCGCTCCTACTCGGTGGCTGTGGGGGAGAACTTATCAGTTTCCATTCCCACGCCTTCTACATATCGCCCGCGTGCATCATCCATTGCGTTTTTGGAAAGCACTGCAGATAGTGACATTCAGGCATTACGAAGAAGTTTAGCCCGCGGAGAGCTCGAACTAGAGATGGAGAGTCCGGATTCGGAAAACAGGAGTGACAACGACCGGGTATGCATTAATTGTAATTATATCAACACGTTTGCTGACTTATTCGCTTCCTTCTTTAGCATCTCTCATTGGGTAGATCCAGCCCCAAAGACTATGTGGTATACGGCATGGACCGATCTTTCAATGACTCTCCAACTCGCTTACATCACGAACATGCTCATCCACACCAAATTCCCACCCGTTCTTTGTGGATCGGCAATATTGATCCCACATTATCTCCGTCTGATTTGTTGACATTATTTTCGCCATTTGGCCCAATTGAATCTCTTCGCATATTGCCAGACAAGGAGTGTGCTTTCGTCAACTACGTGCGAGTAGAGGACGCAATACGTGCACGTGATGAGATGCAAGGTGGTCGAGTTGGGAACTGCATTGTCAGAATTGGGTTTGGAAAGGCGGAGGCGATCAATGATACGCAAGGGATGCAGCCCACAAAGTCCCTATGTAAGTCGTGACCCACAATCATGGTTTCCTGATCAATCTCTAAAGTTTTTTCAAGGGATCGGCAATATTCCACCTACCACGGATCCCGCTGAACTTGAGGCACTATTTACCGCATACGGCCCGATTGAATCCGCTCGTGTTTTGGTAAGGGATCTTGTAATATATACGCTATGACCTGTACCTTGTCATTTAATCTGTGCCGTGAACTCGTAGACCCATAAAAATTGCGGTTTTGTTAATTTCTACAGACTAGAAGACGCCATGGAGGCCAGGAAGAATATGAACGGAAAGGAGATTGGCGGATCAGTTGTGAAGATTGGATACGCAAAGGTCCCTTCAAAAAGCGGAGAAGGGACAGCAACGCTTGCTGCGTCAGCGCTAGTTGGCACATCCTTTATGGGGACTGCTTCTCCAGCTCGCGACCGTTCCAACTCACTGTCAGGAGGATTCAATAATTTTGCTACTGCCACGGGATTGGCGGCTACGCCAACACCGCAAATGTTGTACTCTCCCTCTCGTGCTATTAACGGCGCCAGAGAATTTGGTATGACACCTCCGCCGCCTCCTTTCCCCGTAAATTTGGAAGCAAATGTGCCAGCTATCAGCGGAGCAGCCCAGACTGGTAGTACACGTCACAGTATTGGAGGTGGCTATCCTGAGGAGCAGATGATGGCTTTGGCATTAGCAGGTGCGGCCAATAAGGAGCTGAATGGAATGGAAACGTTAGATTCGCTGTGGAATGGTCAGAATCCCAACGGTAAATTATTTCTCATATGGAAACAGACGTTAGCGTAGTATGCTTAACATTTGCCTGCTTGTCTAGAAACGTACGCATCCGCAATACCACCGGTTCCTGAGCCTAAACCGAATCGACGCGTGGATCAAAGTCGATTACGGGAAATGCGCAAACGACTGGAGGGGCATGTGACCATGAAAGACGTGGAGGCCATTTTCAATGAAGTCGTGGAGGAGACTGTAGACCTATGTACAGGTGAGTTGCGGGAGCCATAACTGTCATGCATGGGACCTGAATCTGATACCCCGCACCAGATTATATTGGGAATGTTGTTATTCAGAAAATTATCGAAAAGAGTTCCGACCAACATCGTCTGCGCTTAGTTGAGAAGGTGGCTCCCCACATGGCGGCTATTGGAATTCACAAAAATGGCACATGGGTAGTGCAAAAGATGATTGACTATGCAAAGACGACTTCTCAGATACAGCTCATTGTAACCGCTCTCAAGCCATTCACTCCGCCCCTCCTTCTGGATCAGTTTGGAAATTACGTGGTCCAATGCTGCTTGCGTCTCGGAACCCACCGTAACCAGTTTGTCTTTGACGCGACGCATGCTAAATGTTGGGAAGTTGGACAAGGTCGATTTGGAGCTCGTGCCATGCGGGCGTGTCTCGAGAGCCAGTACACCACTAAAAGACAGCAAAAGTTTGTGGCCGAAGCGATCGTGCATAACGCAATTCAACTTGCCACGAATCCCAACGGAGCTATTTGATTACATGGCTACTAGATACCAGCAGTCTACCTGGGCGATATCAAGCCCTGGCTCCAAAATTGGCTCCGCACGTTCCGACTTTGTGCACCCACAAGCTCGCAAGCGCAACGATTTTGAAGCTTGGTATGACCCGTTGTCGTCGCCTTGTTACTCACTGCTTTCGTTTATTTACGGGACTCTCTCGTTTTCGATATAGTAAACCAAAGAGTGGAGTTGGAGGCTCGCGACCAGATTATTAAGGAGATCTTCTTCCGCGATGATTCTTCCCTTGAGCAGATACTCGCTGATCAAATTCACGGAGTTTCCGTTATTCAAAAGATCCTTGCATCTGCATGCGTGTCTCCCGAGGAAAAGATACGATTAGCCGACAGGGTGAGGTCCGTACTTTCGCGCATGTCTGAGGTCCGAGACAATCAGATGGGCTACAAGCGCCTTCTTGATGAGCTGAGCGTCATTCCTTCGTCCCTCGGGGTCGGAGCTGGTATTGGCGGGGGACCCGCTGGATTATCATTGTCAATGCCGCCTACGGGCGGGAATGGGTTTGGAGACCCTAGCCAAGAGGTCGTCAGCCCATTAGCGCCGCAACATCCAGGCATCTCGTACTCCTCTGCCCCAGCAATGACCGCAGCTGGCATGTATGGTTCGAACGGTGGCAACATGAGCAACAGCCCGCAGCAGCCTGTTCCTGGATGGTACGGCGCTGCTGGCCTTGCGCAGCTGCCCACTCCAAGTCACTCTCCCCAACCTGGGCTCTATGTTCCCGGTGGTGCAGGAGGACATTATGGCATGAACATGACAGGATATCACGGTTTGCCAGGATCACCATATTCCAGCATGCCCGGCCTCCCTCCAATGTCAATTCCGGCCGGTGCGTACTATACCGGCGGAAGTTACCCTCCAAGCCCTCAACATGTTGCAGCTTTCCAACAGCACCAACACCATGCGATGCAGGCTCAAGCGGCCATTAACTCGCATTCAGTGGTTGCGAACAGTGGCCAACAGCGTCGTCAGAGTGACGGTATTTCTCCAGATTCATCAAGCCCCAACGCCGTAGAACCCGAGCAGGGCGACCGCTGAGAACTCTACTCAAAACGGACGATATCACTTGGACCAATGATCTACAACCCGTATTATTTCAACCAGTTTGCGAACGTCAAGTTCATTTTCCATAGCATCGTCTAATCGCTCCTACGATTTCGTAATATTTGGGTTGTTTCATTTCTTTTTTTTTTTATCATGAGATTTTTGTCCCTAGTTGTTCCACAATGACTTGGGAAAGTGTATAGTTGGGAGATTAAGTGAGGATGGATACTCTGGGTGGGCTGATACTTTGGTTATTTGGGGCGCGTCTTTGTTTTACTTTTGGGCATTGACTCTCTTTCGGTCTTCGAGTATTTTTTGTAATGGTGCTCAGTCCTTATTTGTGTAAAATCGTATCATTGGCATATGGCGTAATGCATAAAGTGTACCTTTACGGCATGGTTACAGCTCTCTCCCTGGTTTAAACATCCGCGACCTACGCCGCGGTTCCTTCGGTTCCTAGGGAATGAACG